ATGTGGTCACTAGAATATGAGAACAAAGTTGATAGAATGTACATATATCCAATAGAAAAAATATTATTGAGGAAAATCTTTCTTCTGATAAAAACGATACTTGTATATTTCAACTAAAGAAACATCAAGTTACTGACAAAGATAGTTGATTTTGAAAAAAAAAAAAAATGAAATCAAAGCTGGATCAAATATAACGTTGTCAAGATCGATAAAGTTTCACAGGCGTTAATAGAGAGCTCACTTTAGTGCAATAATTTTATAACCGTTAATTAAATCGAATTTAATGTGTGCATGAAGAAAAATGTGAAGGCGTATTATTAAAAATCGTAACGACGTTTTAGAATTATGCCTTACGATTTTAATCGCATTAACCAACACTGGTATAAGACACTATCTCTCATGATGAGAAACAAACTAGACAGAAGTCTTTTCGCAAATATAAGAGAGATACTAAATGTGGTAATAAACCGTGCAGTTGCAGATCTAGGCAAGCGGCCCGGTTAACAAGTGTACCGCGTCCCACTAGATGATATCCAGCAACATAACGGTTTTATAGCTATTAATTAACCATTCGTTTTTCTTAATAACTCTCCACCTTCTATTGTGATTAATGCTATCACTAATAATTCCGCTCTGTATCGTATGCTCGCTTCCTAATACTCTAATGCACTTGGTCTTCCACTCAAGCGTTCAATGTTAGCATGCTGATTGCTAAAATTTACAGCTTATTAACGCTTTCAAGTCTCTTAATATGCGTGTTGTTTAATAGCTTTTAAACACGTGGCGATATTTTCTTTTATCGGCTACAAGTGTTTGAAGTGTGCTTGATATAATCATTTAACTGACATTTAAATTTCACTTTACTTTTTTTTTTAAGAATGGAATTTGATTTCTTACTCTCTTGCTACTGATAGGGAGTTATATATAGATGTGAATGCTTCTTACAAATATTTATTTAAAATCAATCTATTGATTTTTAATGTTGAAATGATTATTGCATTCCTAAAGCAGTAGTGATGAATGAAATAAGATGATAATCACAATTATGATGACAATAGCTAGTAGGTTTACTTGACTTTGAACAAAACGAACTAATATGGACATTGAACATGATTTGTTGATTCTTCAAACACGTGGTGAAAATAAATTATTCATGTTTGGCTAACCTATTTAGCTCTTGGGCGTATGTCATAAAATCTCACTAAATGTTTCATTGTGACATTATTTATTTTTGAATGAATTGAATTATTGATGCAAAATTAATCTTCAAATGAGACATAAATGATTAAAAATTTTTAATGTAACTAAGATTAAATAAATTAATTAAGAAATGATAGAATCGTATTATGCTGTATTTGAACTATTATCATTAATTAGATTGATTGATCTACTTAATCATTAGTAAACAGATCACAGCTTAATGCAAGAGGTGCTGATAAATCACAATGATTTTTATTAATTGAGTACTAATTTTAATGGCAATCGTTTGAATAGATAATTTATTTCAACTGATATTTAATGATTTGAAATCAATTTTCAACAATATAATCATCACAAATTAGAACATACATTCTAACTATTAATAATAATAAGCAAATATTTATTATCTATCAGAGAAACTTTTTAATTTATTTATTATAAATACTAAATATTTCATTTTCTTGAAAAAAAAAATTGTTAAAAAAATTATGTTGAACATTTAGTAGAACATGTAGCTCCTTAATTAGAATAGCTTTGTTCTAAACTACATTCACTACAACTCATTGATAGAAGTGATACAAACAAGTACTAAACATTATTTTTCAACATTTGTTCGAACATCGCGACTAATTAAACAACAATAAATAATTTTAATTAACAATAGGTCAATAAAAAAAGAAGAGTGTTAAGTTTTACAAGTTTTCTCACAATAAACCCTTTCGATTATTAGCTAATCTCGTTACGCTCGAAGAATTCAATCGTATGGGAATGTTCTTAGCGAGGGAGGTACAATCAAATACAAGGGAGAGAGATACAATCAAATCGTGAGTGAAAGGTTCACAAATATCCCTTTCATTATAATTATTATACTATGTCTAGTATTCATTTATTCTTTATGAATCATTTTCGCCCTTTTCTGAAGATTATTAGAAAAACACACAAATAGATTCATTGTTAAGAAAAAGAAATATGAAAATTCATGATTATAAAAATAAAACTAAACAGGAAACTTAAGTATAGGGAAGAGAGTTAAAATATTTCTTACATCATTTCAAGTGCAAATCCATGACTTTAATTGACTCGCAAGGCCAATTACATGAAGATACCAACTTGTTATTATCTCTTCCATATTTTACTGTCACAAGCTTATTATTAAATTCAACGATTCCATACTAAATAGTTCAATGACATTAGATATCATTTTAAATCGAACCTGCAGGCAAAATAAAATAAGTGTGCCTTCTACATCAACTTTAACACTGACCAAAGCATTGAGTCAATCTCCATAAATTTATCCACTTAATAATATTCACCATCTTGGTTCAATGAATTCTGTTCTTCATCATCAACATCATTATTTCATAATAATATATTTCATATCAATTAAAAATTTTTTCTTTCTTCACAAGGAAAAAATACCATTTTTCCAGACTTTGAACTTTCAGCTTGATCTAAATAATATGATCTACCTTATAATGATATGTAATATTAAAATACATGACCGTAAAGCTGAAGAAAATAGTGCAGTGACTTTTATGAAGCTCTACTACACTTTCTGCTGGTGAAGTGTCTATCGCATAGCTAATGAAATGAATGGTTGATAAGACACTTGAATAACATAGTACACTTTAGTAGACACCTTGTACATGGTATGTAATTCATAAACAAAACTGCACGTATTTATTAGAAGGACATGTGATAGAAGGAATTCTGCTTTACAGTTATAAAATATCAACTCTTGAATCGTCGTATTTATGTTCGAGTTCAGCTACGCACGCTCTATTTCGCTGGATTTACATCGAGGAACGATGCAGACTATTAATTCTTACCGATTACAGTGCAAGTTTGTAGACTCATGGCTTACATACACCTAACCTGCTGTGTCCCCTGTACAAAGCAAAGGTGACTTAGGAGAGAATGCTCTCTTACTCGTGGGAATGTTAAAGAGGCGAAAATGAAATGGGATAATTAGATTAATTGAACTAGAACTTCGATCACTGTGGGGGGATTATCAGCTATCTCATGGTATCAACCAGTAGACTAAATTAACTCATTAAAGTACCGTAGCTACCAGTATCCTTGTATTATCCCTTGTTGATACACACGTTCAAAATTACTGTAATCACTTATTCTTCACTATAATACCATGATTCATTTTTTTTTTTATTCACGGAAAAATTGTTAGATGATAAGTTGATATTTTTCAATGTAAGTTGATAGTGAGTATGTGCTATTTCAAGTCTTATTAATTAATTAGACTCAAATATTACTCATTATTATTGTACCGTTTTGGAGTATAATCAAATAAATTATGGAAGTATACTTGGATGGGTTTTATGGTTGTTTAATAGGGGTTTTTAGATTTAATATTGGCTTTTTTATGATGAACTTGGAAATTTCATAGTTTAGTTTCTAAAACTACACTGAAACAAATGATATTTTCATTAATACTTATTTAAATAATTCTTTGGAATAATTATTAATGATATTTATGGGAAAAAAATCAGTTTTCTAGACTAGAAACTTGTTTCTTATGACTAGCATTAATGCCATTAATTTATTCTTGAAAATTTTACTTATCTTTTAAAAATAATTCATGTCTACAAAATGAATAGTTTTTAATTGATATTTTCTTATTTATGTGGATAATATTGGCTTTGATTAGAGCTCTAGAAATAGCAATTTTTTTTCCTACATGATATCAATGTTTCTTTTTTTTGATTACGATTAATTTCTTTAGAATAAATATATCATTAAAATCATTAGATGAGTCTACTGTCATTATTTATTTTCTTTCAGTCGTTGAAAGTGGATTAGTTGACAACTGTGTAATTTTTTTTAGTTTCGCAATACAATTCTTGACTGTGATGGGTATACACAACTCACTTATTAAGTGAAAAAAGTTTTTAACTATTAATAATCATCATGCAATATTTTTTCTACATTCTCAGTATTGACAGTAACTTTTTAAAAAAGAAAAAAAGGTATACAGACTCGTTTTGCTTTTTTTTTTATAAAAAATATAATTGATTAATGAATTTTACCAATTCAGTTATATTTTTAAAGTTTAAAACAAAATACTTTGATTAGTAAGTTTGAAAATAAAAATTGAATTTTTGTTCAATACAAGAATATTTATTTATTTCTATTATTAACAATCATAGCAAAATAACTTGGTAGGAGAATCTAAATATAACAAAATAAAGCCAAGTTTTTAATAAGCTAGTTTTGCTATAAAGATATCGAGAAGCTATTTTGAAATGATCAATTATGAAGTTAAAAAAAGAATTATTGATGACTTCTTTCGATTAATCAAAAATGATGAAAATCAATAATATTTTTCCTTGATTTCCAAATGTCGTAATTCAATAAACTTATTAAAAGATCCATTTGATAAATGATTTTTCTATTTGTATTTCGAAATTATTGAAAGCATCAAGAAAGATGGTATTCAAATGAAAACAAAACTTTAGCGTAAGTGCAATGAATTTAAAGGGAAAGTTCAAAATGAAATTAATACGGAAGCATGTCCCTAAGTATCATCGACAGGTAAAGATCTCGCTCGAAGAATTCAACTGCGTCGGCCATTGACTCGTAACGGGTTCAGTCTATCGTCGTTCACGTTTATACGACTCTTTACGAAGACTCTCCTTTTAATACCACTTTGTAACATGTTTTATTTAACCGGACGTATGACTGGTTCTTATTGGAACATAATTACCAGATTAAACCCCATCTGAATGTCTGAATAGAGCGCAATTAAAATATCAAATATTAATAATTATATTTTTCCTTTTCAGGTCCATCATTGAAGCTGTTGCTGCTGTTGGCGAACTTATTGAGCATTACAGTGGCAACTTCCCTTTGTCCATGGGCATCACACATAACAGAACTAGAGAGTTCATGTATCTGTGATTATAATCTTGCACGTGAACTATCTGTTCAATGTGACCTCGTAGATTTTAGTCAACTGTTATCAGCAATAAAGCGTTATGCTGCTAGAACAACCATAGATTTATTCTACGTCAACAACAGTACGATTGGAGTACTAAAAAATGGCTCTTTTTCTATGATTCGTATCAACAACATGCAGTTGTCAGGATGTAAAATTACGTCGATCGAAGAAAATGTCTTTAGAGGTCAAGAGCTTTCTCTTAGATCTCTCAATTTAAAAGATAACGAATTAACTGATGTTCCAACTGTACCTTTAAGGTATTTAAGAAACCTTACAGTTCTCGATTTATCTATGAACAAATTAACCAAGATTGAAGACAATTCTTTCCGGAATCTCAAACTTGTGACTCTCAAACTTGCTGATAATGAGATTACATTGAGTCCAGCAGCATTTCGAGGCTTGGAAAAGACTTTGAAAAACCTGAATCTAAAAGGAACAAAGCAGAAGAAAATTCCAGAGGCTTTGAGAGGTTTAAAAACATTGGCATTCCTTGATCTGTCTTTGAACAGTATCAAAGAACTGCCCGGACCGGCAGGGCAAAAAGCTTTTGAAGGACTTGATTCATTGACAGGTTTAAATCTGGAGAGGAATTTAATTCAAAGTATAGGACCCGATGCTTTTTATGGCATAAAGAAAACTTTGAGTTCATTAAGTTTATTGAACAATTTAATTCCTGATTTCCCTACGGCTGCTATAAATAGTGTCCGTGAATTACGAGTCTTGGATATTGGATTCAATCTAATAACTGAGTTGCCACTGAATGCCTTTCAAAACAATCCTTCAGTCACTCTTCTTGCCATTGATGGAAATCCTCTATCTACCGTTCCAGAGGAAGCCTTAGCAAGTTTGAATGGCACCCTCAGGGGTCTAAGTCTCGGTGGACGTTTCCTAGTTTGTGATTGTAAACTTAGATGGGTTGCCAATTGGATACGGACGAAAGATTTGCAAGTAACAAGTCGCGAACGTAAACCGCAGTTCTGTGGTAGCCCATTACGATTGCAAGAAAGGAACTTTTATAATATTGACCCTGAAGGTAAGTTAATAAAATGCTGAATTGACATTTAGTTAAAAGTATGTGTAGTCTAATAAATGTCATTGCAGAATTAATGTGCGAGAGGCCATCGGAGATCATTGGAATCGGTACGGTGGAAAGCGTAGATACAAAAGAACCAACTGGTCCAGTTAGTGGAGTTGTAGATGAATTACTGCCCACTACTCGTGTACCATCAACTACTCTACCATCATTTCCTTCTACTTCAATAACAACTCAGCAAACCACTCGAGTGAGTCCCAACATCACTTCCTCGACAGTTACAACAACTATAAGTACAACCACTGAATTAAAGACAACTGAAGTAGCCACTACCTTATCCACTGTACCATCAACAACCACTCGACCCACTGCTCGGACTGGTAATGTTGTTATAGTTAGGACAACTGTACCACCACCACCACCACCACCTCCAAGAATGTCACATACTCCTGAACATGGAACTCTTCAACAACATCAACCACGGCCTCCATTAGTCCTCGGATCTCCATTGTATAAATCAAAAAATATCGAGAAGGATATCATCGTTAAAGATGCCTTGAGACAAGACAATTCCGTGATCATTTACTGGGATACTGAAGCTTCTAATATTCTCGGATTCCGAGTTGTTTATAGACTCTTCGGAGATGCTAGTTTCAAGCAAGCTCCACCTCTAGAGGCCAGTGAACGCGAGTTCAAAATAAAAAATGTTCCATCTCAAGTAAGTCCTTAATTAGAAAAGATGAGTAAGGAGTTAAAGAATAGAAATTTGATGAGATTAATTTTTAAAAATCACTTTCAGGAATGCATCGTGGTTTGTGTGGTTTCTCTAGAGGAAACTAATATCACGCCAGCCAATGTGCCTTACAGTCAATGCAGAGAGGTACGCACTGAGAATTCACCTACGTCAAACATGGATAAAATCACGATAGCCGCAAGTGCTGCTATTTGTGCGACAATTGTGGTTGCAGTCATCATTTTTGTGGTTGCCAATCGTCGAAGAGCACGCAAGCTTCATACTTTGCATAGCATTGATCAGACTAAAATGGGAGGTCCAATAGCTGGACTTCCAGTTAATTGTTGTTCAAACGTCGGACCTACTCCAAGTCCAGCAGGTCCATTAGCCTCCATGGCTACTTTAAGTGCTTATAATACTCAAAAAGAGTGGGATCAAGTATCTGCTTATAGTAACAGAAGCATTCCTAGACCAAGGATATTTCCAATAGATCGTCAAGGTTAGTTTACAATAAATGTTTTGTTAGTTATTGCATCATTTCATTATTCGAAATCATTACTAAAAAGCTTATAAATCATACAAACAATTGCTTCAAGATCTAATCAAAAACATAATTACAGGCTCAATGACAAGAGCATCATGCATGGATGAAGTTAGATCTCAAGCCAGTCATTATGGTGGAAAAATATCATCTCGTTCAATTGCTGATGGACAATCACAACATAGCTTTTCTAATAACTCATCTCGCTATTTTGCCAACAACGTGCTAGCGAATAATCTCAGTAACACTCGACCAGGTATATGAGTCAGCGGATTTCATCTCTTTACACCAGCGCTACCTAAAACTCTAATGCTCTTTCTTTCAAATAATCTTCTATTTAACCATTATTTCTTCATCTCCTCATGTGTATGCTAATGGAAAATATTATTCGCGGCAGAGTTACGACAGTCGCGACAATCTCTGGCCGCTGCTTCGGATCGAATGTCACGTAATGGATTCCCGGGAAACAATTTACCACCACATGCTTCGGCACGCCGTCAACGGCCTCGATCAAGAAACCGTACAATGGAACAAAATCCACCTCGCCCTGGAAGTCGTTACAGCCTAGCAGACTCTACTCACACTCTCAATAATTATGATGAAAGTAATTGGACTGATCATGATATGGACATATATATGGCACGTAATCCAACTACAAGAAGTGGTCTTGTGCCTCTCTAAAATTATTTGTCCTGATAAATTGATAATGTGTGTATTGCTCAAGTGTTTGATTTCAATTGACATCAAGATGAAGTCTTAGTTAGGATTAAATTAATTGTATTAAAAGACACTAAACTTCCTAGACAGTCAAATTATTTAGTGGTATTATTATTTTATATCGCTGTTTTAAGAAGATATAAGATGACTCTAGATAATCATTAGTATATTACCTTTAATGTTAAAGAATCTAGGAGTTTTTATGAAAAAAAAACGCCAGATTTCACGCGCGAAATGTACTTATAAAATATTTAAGATTATTTTGTAATAGTTATAAAATACTATTTTTCATCCCCAAACCATATCCTTAATAGATTTTTACAACAGAGAATGAATTGAAAAAAGTTAGAGACTATTGTAACATTTGTTTGTCCAAAGACTGTAACATGACCGCGAGCATTAATGACATAATGACAATTATAAAAATTTTTCATATTTTTGGTCACTACTTTAATGATAACTAATTATATGTGAATAGTTTTTCGTAAATAAATATACCGAAGAAATAATTATCGTTAATAATAAAATTTTATATCAAATATGTAATGTAATTTAGAATGTAATGCTAATATTTGTACATGAATTATTTTATAGAAATGATCTTATTGTACTGGTGCAATCAAATACAAATGCATTTTTGTTTATTGAAATAATTGTTTGTAAAAATAAATAAATTTTGATAATTACTTACCCAGGAATAGAAATAGTTTCATCCCAACGATAACGAATTTCTTGAACAAACTCATGCCACAGTTGAGCAACTGCTGCAATTCCTCCTAAATTTTGTTTACAGTGTACAGCGACAACTGCAAGTCTCCATACTAATGAATCGAAGGTACAAGTTTTGATACCTTTCCACAAATCTTCATCTACATTAGAGCTATTCACATCTTCATATGGAGTTTTCTATGAAATTATCAATAATTAATTACATATTTGATTTTGAATTAATATTATATATGTAAATTTAATAATTACCGAATTTTCATCAGCATCAGGAAATAGATAATAAAGAATTGACATAATTATTTCGTCTGATACCGGACCCACTGGATTTTTACTACTTTTCTGAATTGATGAACTTCTACTCATCACTTTAGATATAGTAGGAATTTTCGATTCAGTAACAGCATTAAACACTGAACTTAATGCTTGGTCATTTCCAGTATACGAAATGTCACCTAAATAATCTGATAATGATTTTTGGTTTTTGCAAAGATTTAAAAATTCAGCGAGATATTCTTCTAATAAACTAGGCGGTGTTTCAGAAAATTTAACTTTTATAGACCATTCAGTTGCTAATTGTGGTTCTAAATCAGTAAAACTTTCACTATCGACTACGACATTTTCTGACATTTGATTCCATGTCGTAAACAGCTGCAGTTCTCTAAAATAAAATCAATTTAAAAAATGATTATTTTCTAATGTTAACTAATTATTTATACAAAATAATGAATAATGAGTTCTTACACCATGGGATCAACACTCGCTCCCAGTGGTAGTTTTCCGACTTCTACAGTCTTTACAAATGTTCCTTCCATAAAGTCAAAATTAGATGTTTCTGGAGTAAAATCTTTCAACAAATAGGTAAATCTTACAGATACCTGTACTGGATCTAATCTTACACCACATCCTTCTCCAATTTTTTGTTTAAAAAGTGCTAAAAATCCTAAAGAAAAATAATTCTGATTAGAACATCTCAATGAATTATAAATGAAATATTTTTATTTTGAAAAACCATTATATTGATGAAAGTGCTATTACATAAAAAAATCATTTATTTAAGTAATAAATTAGCTTAAGCTATACCTGTAAGATGACGGCAGTGTGGAGGAGTCTTTTTTAAATGAACCATATCTAAATGTGCTATACTTCCTTTCCCAACGTTTACGCCTAAATAATACTTTTGCCATGGTTCCAAAACTTGTACCAAAGCAGGTACTTCACTGTAAAAGTAATAAATTCAATTAATTTATGTTAAATAAAAAATAAACCCACTTGTTAATTCATTGTTGATACCTATTAGTATTGGTACATGCGATCGTTAAAGAGCTAACTAAAATTTTGATCCTTGTTTCCTCAGAAATTGGCACACGTCTTGCAGGAGTCAGAACAATAAACTCTCTAAGGCCATAATAACGAACTATTTCCAAAAACTCTTCATCAATTCTTACAAAATCATTCGTCACATTCAAAACATCAATGTGACTTTGAGTGTTAGAATCTTCATTGTCGTCTAGAACATCTTTTGTTTCTTCGTTGTCAACTTTTAGTTTGTAATGTTTTAATAAAAAAGGATAGTTAGCAAAACTGAATTCTTCTGATTTTTTCTCCCATTCTGAATTAACAAAATCTCCTGGTTTTAGACTAGGTCTAATTTTCGTATGAGGTAACCTCCATTCATGAATGATTTCTTCCAGTCGAGCGATGAAAACTTCCCATTCAGAAGCAGTTGTAAAGTCATGATGATAAAAATCCTCTATTTCAATATTATGCATGGTAACTGTTTACAAATTAACAATATAAACAAATAAAATCATATGTTACAACAAAGGTTGACATCATACACACAACACATAACAGATGGATAAGTATTTAAATCAGCTATAGTCGAACTGAGAAAAGAGTTCCTCAGTTGCTTCAATGCTTTCGGGCTCCCCACCACTGATTTTCTACCCCTTCTACCATGTTTTTTACTACTGCGCAAGCGTACAAGAACACATGAAGAGCATCTGAGGAACTCTCTTCTCAGTCCGACTATATTGGACAACAGTTTACAATTGTTGTAAGGTATTTAAACCTATGCATAAACCAGAGATTACTGAGGCATGCCTCTAAAAACCTCCAAAAGAGTCAAATTTCCGCGTCCCAAATTTTTAGTTAGACTCTGACAACGTGATGGCGCTACTCGTTTAATTACAATGCGCCGATAAAAGTTTACCAGCAGTCGTTAAATATTTTCTTTTTCAAAACAAATTTCAAAATTGAATAACCTCAAAATCACATTTCTGGTAATCTTTCTTTCTTGAAACAGAGCTTGACAAAATGGTTAGTAAATGTTCCAATTCATAATCCATTTATTGTTTACACATCTTCTAGATGATCATATTATTAAATTTACATGCATTAATCAGTTAAATAGTACAACAACTTCAATTTATTATTATTATGAGACTATTAATTCATAATAAAAATTTTTCAGCATTTCAATATTTCTTCGAGGTTATGGTAACTGTATCAGGTGAATTTTATTTATTAAATGTTTATATTTATTTCAGGGTAAAGTCAAGTGCTCAGAATTGCGTACGAAGGATAAGAAGGAGTTGCTCAAGCAACTCGAAGAACTCAAAACTGAATTAACTAATCTTCGAGTTGCTAAAGTTACTGGTGGAGCAGCTTCTAAACTTTCTAAAATGTAAGTTGTTGACGGTCATTATTTATATTATTTATCCTTATTATCCTCCAGCATCATCTTTATAATTTTTCATAACTTTTTTTATCTTAATTTGCATCGTTTTTTGTAAATAATATGTATTATTTATGTTTCAGACGTGTTGTACGTAAAGCTATTGCTCGTGTATACATTATTATGCACCAGAAGCAAAAAGAAAATTTAAGACTTTTGTACAAAAATAAAAAATATAAACCTTTGGATTTAAGGCCAAAAAAGACCCGTGCGATCCGTAGGAAGTTAACGCCTTACCAAGCAGGCCGTAAAACTCTAAAAGAAATCAGAAAGTTATCTGCATGGCCAATGAGGAAGTATGCTCTTAAGGCATGAAATATTTAATATATTTCAAATTAAAATAAATTATAAAAATCCAAAAAAATGGTCTACGTGTTTTATTTTAAAGATAAATAATGGTATTGCATGAAAAGGTTTTGAAAAATAAAATTGTGTTGATACACTATATTGACACTTGATAGAATGAAAATGAATTCGATTTTAGATAAATTTATTTAGGCATTTGTTACTTTTATATCATAAGGTTAAATCAGCTAAGAGTGTTTTAGATATGAACAATTCTTCGGTTTCATAATTGAAAATAAGATTTACTAAGCCATTTAACATTTGCATGAAAAAGTTTTATTAGTTGATATTACTGTTTTCATTAATTAATTACAAAAATTTTCAATTCATTTGTAATATCGCTCAACAATGACACACCCAATGAGATGAAATATCAAATTTTCGTTTTTGATTTTTTAAAATAAAATTCGTTATTTTTAATTGTTTCACAATTTTGTATTGCACTGGTTAGCACAATTACAAACTTTCTTTCTATAAATCACGCCTAATCATATATCAATATATTAAAATATTTTTATTACTAAAATACTAATTGAAGCTTTATTATTGTTATTATATTCTCTTTCGTTACATATTACATCCCTTTAATGCTAAATTGTCTTCCAATTATATACAATAACAGAAATATTTTCGAAAGATTAATTAATCAGATTAATCATGAATATTTAGTAACTCATTTGCATATGATGATTACTTTTATTTACTGTTAAACTGTAATAAGTTTTCCTGAACACCATAGACAAGGGTGGAAATTCGGTTCAAGAGAACAATTGTCTTTACAGTCTTTAATTTCGGTCAGTAATTCTAAAATTTTTTCTTTCGTTTCTTTTTCTTCATCTGCTTTTACTTCTTGAGCTTTTTCAATCGCTACCTCATTAGTTGCACCATTGGAAGTAACTGCAAAAATATTTATTCAATATTATATTTATTCCACTTAATTTCAGTTATTCATACTCACCATTATTATCTACATGTGTGTTAAAGCTATTCTCTTTATTGTTCGAACCAACATGATCAATAGGCTTATTTTTCAATAAATCAGCAACAAGAACTTTCAGTTGATGAAGCTGTACCTGTTGTTGATTACGTTGATCAATTAATTGGCGAAATGTTTGCTCACGTTCTTGTGCTTTTAAATGAAGGATGGCACGTTGTTTTTGGTACAAAGTAATATACTCTCCTAAGTAAAGGAAACAATAAATAATTATTGAAGCCTAAAAAGACAACTTATTATAATATTGTATTGAGTAAATATTACCTATCGTTTCGGTTTCTCCTTGAAGTTGGAGCACTAAATGCTCCAATCTTTGTTTTTCATCGCTCAACTCAGCTACTCGTTCGATCGTTTCTTTAAATCGTTTTTCTAATTTCATCAATGGTTCAGACACTAGTTCATCTGGATCAATTTGAGTTTCTTTTGTATCTTTTATGTGTTCATGTTCTATTACTGTGCCTTTATTCTCAACATTTCTAACACCAGATTGATCTTGTTCAGGTGGTTGTTTAGGCTCACTTCGGTTCTCTATCACTTCAGCTTGTATTTCTGTTCGATGATCAGTATGATTCGAATTATTTAGTTTCTCTAGTAGATTTGCATTTTCTTGTTTTAAAACTTCAATAGTATTCAATGCATTTTGAAGCTCTTGCTGTAAAGTTCTTGTCTGGTATGATTGTGCTTGATAATGTTGCATCTGATCAACAATTTGGGCAGATCTCAATTTTTCTTTTTCTAATTCCTGAATGATTTCATCTTTTTGTTTTAATTCTTCTCTTAATGTATCCCTTTCCATCTCAACTCTATTCAATTCTTTATTTAATTTTCTTCCTACTGACCGTTCATCTTGAAGCTGTTCAGTTAAATTTAATTTAGAATTACTAAGTGTTACAAAAGCATCATGCATTTCACTTAGTTGACTTTTTAATTGTTCATTTTGAGACACAGCCCTTGATGCGCCTAATTGTTCACTTTCTAAAGCGTGTACCAATTTTGAAATTTCTACATTCTGATCTCGTAGCTCACGTAGCTCTTTCAACTCTTCCTTTAATGTGTCTATTTCTGCCTCTTTTTCTCGTAACGTTCCTTGTAAAGTCTCATGCTCTAATACTAAAGAATCCATACTTTGAGTAAGATGCTTTATTTGATTTTCCGAGTCTTGTAAAGGAAGCAAAGATTCAGCCCTTTGCTTTTCTCTTTGATACTGCTGTTCCATATTAGACAAACGTTGTACAAAACTCTCTTCACGATCTTTATATTCACTTACTGCCACTTGTGCAGCTTTTAATTCTTGTACTGCATTTTCATATTTAGCATCCAATTGTTTAACGTAACTCTCATAATGTTTACCTAATTCTTCTTTTTCAATGGTCATAGTTTTTAAATTTTCCTTCAGTTGTGCTAATTGTTGCTCCAACATTACATGTAATTGACTTTGATTATCGACAATCCGTACTTCTTGAGTAGCATTTGTCAATTGCTGAATTTTCAGTTCTGCTAATGATAGAGAATTTTTATTGTCTTCTAGAGCCTTAGAAAGATTAGCCAATTCTACAGATTTAATATTTAATTCCTGCCTCAGTTCAGCAATTTGCATATTCTGTTCTTCATTTACTTTTTGTAATGCTACACAATTGTAATTGAGACTTTCATTATTATACTTTAATTGTTGATGGGACTGTTTTAGTTCGTCAAGCGTACCTTTAGTCTGATGCAGTTCTTTGTCTAATTCATCGATACGATGTTTTTTATTATTTAATTTCTCTGTCAATTCTTCAACTTCATTACATTTTTGTCGCAATGTTGTTTGAGCGTGAGCAAGTGATGCATTTAACTCTGCCTTTTCTGAAACAAGAATGCTGGTTGTTTGTGAATGAAATTGAATTTGTTCTTGTAAATGATTCACTTTCTCAGCAATTTTAGTTTCAAATTCAGTATTTTTTGCAGCCAAACAAGATTCTAATTCTGAAATCTTTTCTTTGTATTGATTTAATTGAATATTCAACTGATCAACAAGATCTTTTTCATTTTCCAAGGCTTTATTTAAATTTTTATTTTGATTTTCTGATTCGTCACTTGGTAATAATAACTCTTCTTCGGGTTTACTGTTACTAAAACTATTCACAGTAGGCACAGTTGAAAACGTATGTTCTGGTAAAAAAGGAGAAAGTTGGAAAGCGTTTTGTACAATCATTTCATTATCAAAATGTTTGCCATTTTGGTTTGTTGGTTGTGGTTCATTATTATTATTACAGTTAGAATTTATTTCGAGCATTAATGGCATTTTAGGAGTCTCTGGAACATCTTGTGAAAAGTCTAATAAATTTCTGTCAGACACATCTGGTAGTGTATCTTCATAAAACATTTTTTCTTGAACATTTTCGTTTGTTGATTCATTATTTTTATGATTCAACTCTGAAACGTAAAAATGTTTCGGGCTATCTTTACTTGCTTCAGTATGTTCAACATTTGATAATTGCACATTTGTATTCTCATTTTTATTGCTGTTAATCTCCTGAAAAAAATAGATTAAAAAATAACAAATTGTTTGCACGTAAGTAAAAAAACTTACATGTGTGGTATTTTCTGCGGTGTCATGTTGATGAGGTGGGCTAACTACCTGATGATGATTTCCTTTATTTAACTGAAATTCCTTAAGCTAGCCAAAAAATATACATACATAAACATTAGTTTATTTATTCAACGTAAAAAGCTGAAAGCACTTTACAAAATAATTACCTTTTTTCGAGCAGCTAACAATTTTTCTGTTTTATTCATGATTCAATCAGTGTAGTTTCAATGCTGATTTATAAATACTGACGTTATTAAATAAAGTTATTATTGTTTTACATCACTAATTGACAAAATATTGAAAGATGACAGCAGAGGAAGAGGTTAGTCTATAATGTAGCCACTCTGGCATATCAGGGGTTCTCAATTGTATTTTTAATTTTAGAACTAGCTTTTGGAGCCATCTCTACAGATACATATTTGAATAAAAGTTATTTGTTTGATTTTTTTTTATTATATAAAGAATGGTTCATAATTTATACATCGATATATAATTCGTTGTGTAAAATTAGTGTGTAGATATAAAAATTATATGAACAGGTGAATATTCATAAGAACGAATTACATTTACTTTGAATAATTGTTATAAAAAATCATGATTTTCTATTATGTGTGATGTTTTTACATTACATAGTCAATAAATTTGAGAATAATGATTTAATTTAGTCAAAATTTTCTATTCTTTTAACTATGTTATCATTTGCCGAACAATTAACTAACTTTTAATTCAATATCAGGATAAATATTCAAAATTTGGGATTGTATATCACCCGAGTCCCAAACTGGATTGTCACGAATGTCAAGAACACTAAGTTTATGTCTGCTTAATAAATTTAATACTTCATCAATATTTGTCAATTCATTTCCCTGAAGTGAAAGGTATTTCAAATTTGGTAGCGTCGGGAAATTCTTTATGCTTTTTAGATTATTATAAGATAAAGACAATTTTTGACAATTCCGTAAAGTTGAAAGTCTTTGCAAGGAATAATTCAAATGATTCCCAGACAAATTTAATTCTTGGCATAGTGTAAAATAATGTTCGTTGTAGAATATTGTCAGTTCAAGATTTGATAAATCCACTGTAGAATTTAAATCCGAATTATCCTTACTTTGTTGGAAAAAGTGTAATTTATAATCCATTACACATTTACTTCCTACAAATATAATTAAGTGACTGAATTTATCATTATTGAAAAATAATTTAGTAAAAAAATTAACTTACGTATATCAGCATAATAGTTAGCACGAAGGTGATCAATCTTCATTAGTAGATTTAAATCTTTCAATATATCTTCATGATATGATACAAAATCATAATTTTTCATCAGAAAAATTCCAGTAAGAATGGCCCATTTATTATTTGGTTCCATTTGCACTAATTGTTTATAATTGTCTAGCTGTTCTTTGAGTTGAGTTTTATTATGTCTATCCAAAGGTAAAGAAGAAGATCTGTAGTACCAAACATTACTGTTTTCTGATTTTGTAAGATTGAAAGTATTTTTCTTGAAAGTAATAGATATTGTAATTGGTTTCTCATCTTTTTCGTCGAATTTTTCTGAAGATAGACTAGCAACCCAAACTTTGGAAAATGAGGAATTATTTAGTGAATTCCAATTTGTTATGTAATAATGATGTTTATTAGAATCATCATCTGATGCTTGATCTGCGACTTTTATTGAAAGCGATAAATCATCTGGTCGTAGACAAGTGTTTTCATGAAATATCACTATTGCTGCTTCATTTGTTACTTCCACTTGCCATAAAACATTCGGTTGAGTTTCTGTATAATCTAGCAACCAACGTTGGTAGAACCAAGCACTTGAATCATTTGGATCTGTGAATGTTGCATTCATAACAAGATCCAGTTCTGAAATAAAAATATTGAACATAAATTTATTTATATGATGAATAAACATAAATACTTTTATTATTTTAATTTTATTTTAATTACCTTCTTTGTGTTTTTCTGCATCAATAGGTAATTTATTCTCTTTGTCCGGAAACAACTTAGATAATATTTTACTGCGGTAATGCCACGATGAATAATTCGAAAAATTATTTAAAATTTTGGTAGTAGAAAATTCAAATTCATCTTCATCAGATATTCCAGCCTTCTTTACGATGTGTTGTCTATAATCCCAACAGTGAACTGTGATAAAAAAATATAGCTTGCTTGATTTCTATAACCAATTGTATAAGATAAATATTGTAGAGATGAAGTTTATCGTACAGTTACGTTCATCCAAATTGAGGCATTTAGCACAAAGAGCTAACTCTGTATTCCAATCTGGTGATGGTAAATGATCTATAACCCAACATCTTTGATACCAAACACTGTAAGATTTAGGATTTTCTCGTAAACAATTTTCTGTTAATGACAATTCTTTCTTTAAACGTTCTACATATTGTTCTTTATCCCTGAAATATAATTAAACACAAGATAAGAAGTAGGAGCATGGAATTTAAATAGTCATTTTCATTCTTTACCATTGATTATTTTGGAAAGCTTCTCGTCGAATATTCCAAATTGTGTGAATGTCAGGTATTTTCAACACTAGGTGTTCAGTTGTAAAAAGTAATTCATCATCATAAATTTTATTCTTTCTCTATAAATATCGAAATGACAATGATATTAAAAATATGAAAAAGTGCTGATTAATACTTAGAATTTTGAGTAGAAAAAAAACCTTTTCAAATATTAAATTTATAGCAGCTTTATACTGAACAACTTTTTTCTCTCGTTCTATTTTTTTGGCTAATTCTTGCTCTGCTGTTGTGCGTACTTTGATACGACCGTGCTGAAAATATAATTTAACAATTAAATTCATTACTTTCCTACAATGTCATAAATAATGATGCAATAAATTATCAGAAGAATATTTTTTATTTAGAGTTAATTATACATAAATAATATCTAACCATGATTGATATTGATTAATTTATATTCTGTATGTAATATTTACAAATATTTTTCCAATATTTACAATTTCAAATTTAATTGAAATAAATTAAATTTAAAACTAATTTCACTAAGATAGCTAGGTTATATGTATCATCACAGAGAACCGTCAAACTGTAGTCAAATTGGAGCACTGTAGTTGATTCTGAAGCAAAGGCGCGTCAATTTGTGTTTATATGTACATACGTCACATACATCTATTTTGGTTGATTATTTTATTATAAATTGATATTATATACATGTATATTGGGTATTTGGTAATATTGACTATTTATTTCATTTCTTGTATTTTGAATTACTACAGAAAAGTTTCCTAAAAAATAAAACAATGCAAGAACTCCAATTTGATGAATGAATATCAGTAGAAAACTTGTTTTGCCTCAAGATATTCAGATATTTACGTTAGTGGATAAATGCTCCGAAAAGCAAAATGACTTCAGCAACAATATTTGGATGGGTTTGATAAATGTCTACGCTTTTTTTTTCAGAGTTAAGTGTTAGAATACTCGTCTTCAATAAAATTTAACTCTACTTGTACTTACATTATTTCCTTCTGTAAGCTTCATATTATTTTCTCTGAATGTAACAATCTTGAATTTTTATATAGATAATTTTAAAAAACCTGAAACACACCAAACTAAACTTCACGAAGCTTCAAACGCGTATGAAAAGTCCAGCGAATGTCTCGACGATTCTAAGAAGCTTACATCCTAGATAGCAGGAGGGGATATTCCAACAAGAAAAACTGGAACAGTTAAATCACGTTTATTTATCATAGTTGTTAAAAGGAAAATTAACAACTCAAGCTCAATGTGTATGGAGCTGATAGAAACGATTTGAGGAAGAGCATCAAAAAATATTTAAAAAATGAATAAAAGCAAGAAAAGAAATAAAGCCATTTTTCCAAGTATTGCAACAAGTGGAATAGAAGAACATTATTTGAAAATATAAGAAATAAAGAAGTTGGATGGAGTTACGTTGCAATACAGATTCTACTCAATTTAATAAAAAAGAAAAACAATGATGTATTAATCAAGAATACATAAGCAGAATATTCTCAGTTGGTTTGAATTTACATTATCAATGTGTATGGATTATAAAAATGTAATTATTAATGAAATAATATTCGTAATCGTGAGATAATTCAGAATGTTTATTTACTTGGAATAGAAAGTATTCTATCATTTCAATCACTGACTTTACCGCGCTGAAAATTTTTTTTTATGATTCGAATCACTAGTAAAAAACTTGATTCGTTTGATCACATGCGCGAAAAAATAGCATCGTTGATTTTGAGCGCCACTGTTCACGTTTTAGGTTATGATTTAACAATAACTCAAGTGACTCCAAGTATCGGCACATGAATTATTAGTTTAAAAAAATTAGTAGTTATTGTTCAAGACAATTCAATAGTTCAATCATAGCAAAAATGGTCGGGGAAAGCAAAAGTACCAGAGATTTTGCTCTCAAAATGTTAAAATCCCTTCCAAGAGTATCATTGGGAAATTTACGAGCAAATCCTGGTACACTGACCAGGGTAAATAAATTGTTATTAAATTAAACAATGTATTAACTACGGCTCTGATTTAATTTTACAAAAATTTATGATTTATTTAGAGTAAAAGAGGTAGAGGTCAACATGGGGGTGACAAGCATGGTGCTGGAAATAAAGGATGTGGTCAAAGGCAAAAATGGTCACTACCTGGATTTGGAACCGATTCATGGCCATTTCATTTGCGATTTGGACGTGAACCTTATTATAAAGGATTCCAGTATGTATATTAAAATCATTTCACAATTAAGTTAATTAAATTTTTTCTTTAGAAAAACAATTATCAAAATGAGGAGAACTAAAATTTAAAAATTACTTACAATAAAATTTATTTTAGTTTAAGACGTCAATATCCACCACTAAGTCTCCATCAGCTACAAATGTTTATTGATACAAACAGAGTTGATGTGACAAAACCGATAGATCTTGGAATCATTATGAATACTGGGCTTTTTTCTATGGAAACTAATGACAATCATGCTGGAATTCATCTTACAATTGAAGTTTGTATTATGAACTTATATTTCATAAAAACTAAATAAAATTTATTATTAATTGGTCTTTAGGGTGCTGATATCTTCAAGGCAAAAGTTAACATAGAAGTTCAATGGACTAGTGAACCAGTTATTGCAGCAATTGAGAAAAACGGCGGAACTATTACGACTGCATTCTATGATAGAATTAGTCTAGATATCTTACGTGACACAACTAAATTTTTTGCTAGAGGTAACACCTTGTATACTATTTTATTGTTAAGGTATGAAGTTATCATATTTTTTTTTAAATTTCATTTACTAGGAGAACCTATTCCACGAAGATTTCTTCCACCACTGGATTGTTTAGAATTTTATTCTAATCCAGCTACACGAGGATATTTAGCAGATCCACAAAAAGTTTCATATGAACGATTAGTTTTAGCACAAAAATACGGCTACGAATTGCCAAAGTTAGAAGATGATCCTCTGTATGATATGCTCACCTTACGTAAAGATCCGAGACAAATATTTTATGGGCTTTCACCGGGATGGATAGTGAGTGTAAAGGACAAAGTAATATTAAAACCTACAGCAGATTATTTAAAAGAATACTATACTAATTAAGTTATTAAATTTTATATTCTATAGAAATAAAAACGATTAACATCAGATAAATAGATAAAATTATTTAATGATCCTAAAGTATCAAAAATAATAAAATTTACAATCATTTCAAAGCTAATTCATACCACAGTTTATCGCGTTTGACAACATTTATAATCATTTCTTGACTAACATTCCATAATCTAGCAGCCAGGTCAGAATCTTTAGCAGCATTTGATACTTCACAGCGATAACAATTGTTCAGATAAATACCAGTAGTTCCTTCTAATTCTGGTGCAGTGGCACAAAATACAGGAGTACTTGCTGCTTGCTGCAGTGATTTTGTAAAAGGTCTCACTGCAGCAAATAAAAGTCTATACATCCAACAATATCTCGATAATTCTGAAGACACCATATTTCCTGGATGACAACTAAACACACTTACTGACGGCCACCTTTTTGCTAATTCTTGTGCGAATAAAACATTACATAGTTTTGAATCATTATAAGCACCCATTGACCAAAATTTAAACGCAGGTGGAGAAAGCGTTAGAGGATGAATATCTTCAACATTTTGAATCGTAGAAAATCTAATAAATTAAATGTAATTACTAAATAATCAATTATTATTAATTAAATATATGTACCTATGTGATTCACTTGAAACAATAACAATCCTCGAATTTGAACAACTTCTTAGTGGATGTTCCAATAACAAAGTTAAATAATAGTGAGATAAATAATTTACTTGGAATATTGTCTCATACCCATCCTCAGTTAATGTGTATGGAAGTCCGAATACCCCAGCATTGAGTATCAATATATGAAGAGTTCTAGTTTACATAATTAAATTTAAATCATTTTAATCATTTATGATTTTTCTAAAATGAATGACTTCTCTTTTACCGATATTTTTGTTTGAACTTCTCAGCAGCGTTTTTAATACTATGTAAAGATGATAAATCGCATTGAAGTGCTTCGCAAGATACATTTTCACGCTCTTTTTTTATTCTTTGTATTGCTTCTTCAGTCTTTTTTAAATTTCGACAAGCCATCACTACAGTACAGCCATGAAAAGCTAATGATCGAGCAGTTTCGAACCCTTAAAATTTTCAAGTGTTAGAAGTTAATTGATGTATGAATATATAAAAAGAAATAACTTTAGTTAATTAGAATGTATTGGCATATAATTAAAAACCAACCTATTCCTGTATTAGCACCAGTTATTAAAGCAACTTTGCCTCTCAAGTCTCTTCCATGAAGTACAGCTAATGCTGAACTACTAGCATCAAATCTTTGTCGAACTGGTTGAGACGCTTCTCTGTATTCAGTTGCAAATGCTAATCGAGGGTCTGTATACGTCGTTGTACGATGTAAATGATTAACAAATAGTATTTTTCCGTCATCTGAAATACATTTTTCCCACCCAGAAGGCAATTCTGTATTAATAATAAGAAAATGTTATTTTTCTCAAGCAATAATTACTAATAATTTCTAATTTCATTATTAAATGATTTAAAATCATTAAGTTTACTATTTACCTCCTTCTACTATTTTTTTACGACCAGTGCGTGGATGTGTCCACTGAGTACCTTTTGTATAATGACTGTAAAGAAAATTGACAGATAAGATTGATATTTTGTCTATAATTGTAGAATTAATTGATGATGGAATCTTAAAATCATTATTAATAATACTTACTTAACATAATAAACATTTCCATCAACAGTTGCACGTTCTTCCCAACCAGGAGGTAAATCATCATCACTATCAGATTCGTTTAAAATGCCAACCATTTTGAATTGTTATTAAGTTTTTAGTATAAATTATTAAAAAATCAGTTAATTTCAATATTAATATTTTTTTTGACCCTCAAAGTGTAAATAACACAGAATAACAGGGTATATTGTGATCTTAAATGTTAAGTTTTATTTTAAAGGTTAACTGTATGCCTTGACATGGTGCACAAACATTCCAATGCAATTATAAATATATAAAGAGTTTAACACTACTAAAGAAATTAACAATGCGTGTTAATTTAATGACATTAAAATAGATTTAACACTGTATAAATATTGATATAAATATGAGTGATTAAATACTAATAACTTGATGTATTGGATTTACTCATAATGTTCCATATGTAAATTTACTCCATAAATTTATATGGAAATTTCCATATTTAAAGATGGTATTTGGTAACGATAATAAAAAATGAAACTAAAAATTTGAAATAGACAATACTAGAATTAGACAATGATAAAAATTATATTTCGTCATAACACGCCCGGATATTGATATCCGTCGATCATAAATACACAAACATACACATATAAAATAGTCATTCACAATTTACCAGACAGCGCTGACTAGTACTATACTAACAGTTGGCAACAATTCAAAAGAAGAGCTACTAACTGAAAAAAACTAAAAACATACACAGGTATTTGAAAGCGATGTGATGATCCATTGTTTTGAACATCTAGGCTAAGATATTATTGTGAAAAAATTGTTAGAATTAGGACTGGAATTAGATTAGGAGCTAATTTTAATATTACCACTACAAATCATTTTATACCTCTTCTTTATAATCATAAATGAAATAAAATTGCTATAAAAAATATAGCTATCACTGGAGTATGGTGTTATATTGAAGCTGTAAATGCATAAAGTTGTACAGCACTTTTTCTGACTTTATGTTTTAAAAATGATAGTGCAATAAAAAATATTTTGGAAGATGATGCTTAGTTTTAATTACATTTATTTCAAATATTCAATTTTTCTTTACTTTGTTGATTAAGAGGGGTATATTAAAGTCTCTGAACATCTTATAAAATATTGCACCAATATTTACCTGTGACAGGATGCATCATTTTTTTGTTAATACATATTGGTCAACAAATTTTTAAAGCAATGTACAAAATTATTTTTAAGTTATCATTTCAAAAAAATGATCACTCATACACATGAATACAATTACGTAAAAATAATCAGTAATGATTCTCAAGACCTTGAAAAATGATGAGGTGCTCAAATTTTTAATTTTAATCGAAAGATGAAATACAATGAAAATTAATGATAAAATAGATAAACTTTTAAACACTACACACGTGTTCTCAATGTTAATAATAAAATAGTGATAACTTTATTCTTATTTGTCTTTTTATATTTCGAAAATTTGGCTGCTCAGAATCGTCAATTAATTAGATGTAATAAAAAATGTTAATATTCAACCAGCAATGTTGGATAAATGATATAAATTAGTAATATGAACTATGAATGTTTGATAAAAACGGAATTTACTTGAAATTTTTATTACACAAAGTCTAAGAATTTTATTTCAATTTTTATCAATTAAATTTGTTATCATAGTTTAACGTAAAGTTAAAATGCTTACGAAGTCGAAAAATATCTGGTTTTATTGTTCTTTGAAAAATACTTTTCTGTATTACTGCTCAAAGTGATTTCCCCTTATATCACATAATTTTTTAAACTTAAATAATACTTATTCCACCATTATAGTATCAAATTTAAGAGGGGATTATAAGAATAAAACCGTTATAAAAACACATTGATCGTAAAATTAGCAGAGTATTGAATTCCGGTATCTATTAGAAGCTTACACCAAAACTCGATATGTCTAACTATCAAAGAATTTTGTTCTCTTATGTACTTTTGGTGAATTTACAATATTTTATTTCAGCTCAAAATACTATTTCTGATCGTAAGTAATATTTTTACATTAGATCTTCTTGTTTCTTTTTAAAAATGACTTTTCATAATATGGAAACCAAGAGATAATTTGTTTTTACAATTTATTACTAGAATTCCAACTTACTCTTGGACATATTAAACCATCCGCTTCTAATGAACAACAAACTAAAGCAGCAGAAGAATTAATTCAACGAATTATAGGAACAAAAGCCAATTTATTTAAAGTGTTGGTTGATCCAACAATTGGTCCTGAAGGGAAAGATACTTTTAAAGTAATATGAGATGATATAACCTGATGAATTTGATTCAATTTACGATTGATATTAATATATTTGTTTTATTCCAGCTAATTAAATGCCGGGAAAATAAAATTTGGATAATAGGAACATCTGGAGTATCTGTAGCTTGGGGTTTCCATTATTATCTAAAAAATTATTGCAACTCACAAATAGCATGGGAAGGCGTACAAATTCAATTCCCATCAGTTCTTCCTGAAGTAAATGAAACTATTACATCTAATGATAGGTAACTTTATTTAAGATTAAATAAGAATAAGGTTTTTATAGTCATCAATGATGTTGGTTCTTGAGTTGTAATAAAAATAATCAATCGGTTTTTAGATTTCGATACTACCAAAATGTCGTCACAGCTGGATATAGCACACCTTGGTGGAATTGGGATAAATGGGAGAGAAACATTGATTGGATGGCGTTGAATGGTATTAATCTTGTTTTAGCATTTGGTGCTCAAGAAGCTATTTGGGAGAGGATCTACTTAAAACTGAATTTAACTAGAGAAGAAATTGATCAACATTTTGCCGGGCCAGCTTATCTGCCTTGGTAACTTGATTTGTAATAGTTAATTTGTTATCAACCGTGTTTAAAGACAGTTGTTGGAACACTTATTGTATGATCATAAACAGGGGACGAATGGGTAACATAAGAGGTTGGGGTGGTCCACTAACATCATCATGGCATAATTTTACAATCAATCTTCAGCATAAAATTTTAAATAGAATGAGACAACTTGGAATTACTCCTGTTTTACCGGCTTTTTCTGGTCATGTACCTCAAGCATTCCTTACAAAATTTCCCAATGCCTCCATGTACAAAACTAACACTTGGTATGAATTCCCAGACGAATATTGCTGGTAAGTAAATATTCTTTTTCTCTAAGTTCGAAAAATAGATAATATGAACATCTGTATTTTAAATTGATTTAAATGTCCTTATAGTCCTGTTTTATTGTCACCTCGGGACCCACTTTTTAAAGTTATTGGAAAATTGTTCCTTGATACGGTAAGACATTATTAAAAATAATTGATATAAATTAAACTATACTTTATAAATAACAATAATCTAATGATGTACTTTTGGTCATAAATAGTACACTGAAGAATTTGGAACAGATCATGTTTATAATTGTGATACATTCAACGAAAAGAATCCAGAAACTGATCTAGATGTTTTAAGAGATATTGGACGAGCTATTTATTCAGCTATGACTGATGTAGATCCTCAAGCTATATGGTACTTAGAATTATAGTGTATAATAATCACTCTTGAAAAATTACATTGAATAGATTAATATTAAGATTGAAATACTTGATCATTGTTGAATTTTGATTCAAAGGATTTTACAAGGATGGACCTTCAATAGTGGAAGACGTTTTTGGACTAAAGAAAGAATAAAGGCGTTTATTACGTCAGTTCCACTTGTAAGTACTTCATTGTCAAATTATGATGATTATTATTATGTCATTTAGAATTTCTTATTTATAATTTAAATGTTTAGGGAAAAATGGTTATTCTTGATCTGGAATCAGAACAATTACCATTGTATAATAAACTTGATTCTTATTATGGGCAACCTTTTATTTGGTGTATGCTTCATAATTTCGGAGCCAAATTGGGCATGTATGGAAGCGCGTATAGAATCAATGAGGTAAAGAATAAAGTTATTATTAATTTAGTTCATCGATATTTAAAATTAATAATCTACCTATCATCTTTAGCGTGTAATTGCAGCCAGAAAAATGAATGGAAGTACTATGATAGGTACTGGATTGACACCTGAAGGAATCAATCAAGATTACGTAATGTATGATCTAATGAGTGAGATGGCTTATAGACATGAACCGGTTGATCTTGATTCATGGTAAAATTCTAAACAATTTATTTATAACTTATCAGACAAAGATCAAGATTACTTATTTAATTGAATATTATAAACATTCAGGTTTGAACAATATTCAGTAAGAAGGTATGGAGTTAGAAATAAGGATGCTGCAGAAGCATGGAAACTTTTGGAACATTCGGTTTATCATCATACTAATGAAACTTGGAGAAGTCGAAGACATTATATTTTAACAAATAGACCCAGTTTAGAACCATCATCTTATGTAAGTTAATTAAATAATAATGTTAAAGGATAAATACATAAAAAAATTTTTTATTTAAGATTTTACAAGATTGGTTTGAGCCATCAGTAGTAATACATGCTTGGAGAAATTTACTAAATGCCCGATTGACTATAAATCCTAATTCATTATATAAATATGATGTAATAGACTTCACTCGACAATCATTACAAGTAATTGTTGAACATCTGTATAAAGACATATTAGAGGCCTATAAACAAAAAAATCGTACAGAGTTCAGGTATAAACTAAATTTATTTAAATCATTGTAAAACTATCAATATCGTTTCGATGTATGTAGTTGATACGATCTTTTTTTAAGGATTCAATCAGGACTATTTCAAGAAATTTTCGATGATTTAGACAAAATTCTGAGTACCTCTGAAGTTTTCTTGTTGGGCACGTGGATCAGAGATGCTCGACTATTAGGAACAAATGACAAAGAAAGAGATTTATATGAGTTTAATGCTCGTAGACAGATTACATTATGGGGACCTGCTTCACAAGGAAAAATAATAGATTATGCAACTAAACAATGGGCTGGGGTTGTAACAGATTATTTCGGAGCAAGATGGAAAATATTTCTGTCACTTGTGGAGTCGTCTATACCTTGGAAAAATACAACTTTTGATCAAACAAAAATAAATGATATAATCTATGAATTTGTTGAAAAGCCTTTTTCAGAGGGTCATAATAAATATCCAACTGATGCGACAGGTACCATTTACTTTTTATCATTATTATTTTTACCATTACGGCTGTTAATTAATCTGAAAATAATTATTGTTTTACAGGTGATCCAATACAAGTCGCAGTAGATTTGTATAACAAGTGGAGCCTACGAAATCCTATGAAAAGGTTTTTAGAAAATTTAAATAAACCAAAACTTATTCAATAATATTATCCAGAAAAGAATGTTGGTTATTGATTTTTTATTGACTTTACTGTAATTAATGGAATGAATAAATCGGTATGCTTCATAAGAGAAAATAATCAGTATAAATAATAAAATTGTCAATCTGTAATTTTTTCAAATTAGTAATTAAAATTGCCTGCGTAAATGGATAAAAATAATATTTGAAAATACTTAATCATTTTTTCATTGTCTAAAAAACAAAAAAAATCGGAATAATAAAACAAAGAAGAATATTTTCTGACATCTATAATAATATTAACGTTAATTAAAACATGTGATAACATTCGGAAATCAATAAAACACAATAGATCTGATTTTGTGTATATACAATAAACATTCTATCCACTATCGAGTTTCCTGTAATCTCTTAGTGCTCATATCAATTTAATTAATGGTCTGATAATCTGAAAAAACAATATGCTGCAGTAGACGGAAGAATGCGTAATAAAGAAAACACTCTTGTTCTTTAAATTAAGGAAAAAATGGTTTGGTATATTTTGATATGTCAATTTGAAAATTTTGATTTAACATTATAAAAACTAAATTTCATTATATATTTTGTTAACGTTTATTTTAAATCGGAAAATTGTTATTCGATTTATCTGTTGTAAACAATAAGCTTTCTAGTAATTACTCCAAAACAAAGAACTAATTGTTCTTTTAAAAGAATGACATAAAAAACAATATTAACTGTTGTTTTTATCATTTACTTGCATAGTTTAATTGATGTTTTATAGAGAAAGAAAAAAACTTGATTTATTTTTGAATTTTTATTTTCAAATTCAACATCAAATAAATCGAATTTCAAGAAAGCTCCGAAAACAATTTTACGATGATCAAAATATAAATAAATAAATGCTTGTAAAAATTGTGCAACGTGATGATAAGATAAATTTGATTATTGGATAAGAAATCGATATATTTATAATACAACTGTAATTTTTGTGTACTACATACACAAATATACTTCCTGAATCTCGTTTGAAACTGAAAGTGAAATGATTAAATTTAGGGCACAGACCTCATTGCCTTGTTTTACTGTCCTCAATTTCACTCGGACTGTAGAACACCATTTCTGTTTTCACTTTCGCTACTTCTGCTCTGACCTGACCTAACCGAGATTTCTACTGGCCTGGGAGCGGTTGCTCCCGCTTTAACCAGGAAACTAAAACATACTGAGGTCAGGATCACGTATACTTTCCCTATTTCCAGCATCATCAAGGACTTTCTTTCCTTTTCACTTTCGATTTCTACTCAACCCACACCATTAACGAAGTACTTTGTGAGTTCTAGGTGTTTCATACAAAGGTTTAGATATTGAAATAATAATCACAATGACAAAAATTAAATTAATAATTTCTAACAAACAAATAATTTTTAATATAAATAAATTATAATAATGGATTTCAATTGTTGAAGGAATTTCAGATCATTAATGCATCTGAAATGTTCGTGATTTGTTATTACTTAAAATACACAGTCAAGCAAAAAATCTATTAGTGTCTACTGAAGATACATCCTTTGGTAATTGATAAGAAAATTACATCACACTTATTCAATCCTATATTGAATGTAAATATAATATATCACTTATTCTTTATCATTTGATAATTATTTGTTATCTATTTAATATCTTAATTTTGCTACTTTTATATTCTTGTTAATTAAATGTGATTTGTTTATTTTTTAACTGCTGATTTCATGAGTTGTAAATAAAGTATTAAAAAAATTCCGATCTTGTTATTCTCAAATTTGCATTTTTTCTATTTCAATTGAACAATCAACGCTAATCACACTTTTTTTTAATTTAAAACTAAGTTTATTGTAACTAAGCACTTAATTTATTGTTTGAATGAATAAATTTGATGAAAAATTATTTATCTTTATAAAATTAGGCTTATCAATCTTTTTAATGATAAAACATCTAGCATTTTCTGCAGTTATTGATATTTGAATATTTTACGAAATCTTGGATATTTTTCTAGATGTAATGTAAAAATTTGTTAATTATTGTCTTGAAAGAGTCATTTTTTAAGTAAAATTGCTAAGAATAGATATCCGTTTGTTTATGGGTACTGGATATGAGTAATAAATCATGACACATAAACATTTACTTGTTGTTGTTAATTTACTCGATAGAAATAACAAATATTCACATTTACACACGAGAACGTGGACACGTAAACATGTTTTAATTCGTAATCATATGAAAATAGCAATAAATTTAAATGATTGTCCGGGATGTAAAGATAAGGATTTAGTAGCTTCTTTACGGTAAGTATATATATTGCGGGTCCATCCATTTTTGGATAACAGTTGCAATTGCAATTGCACTGTGATATTGATTCACATTATTAAGTTTACATAGTGCACTCAAAATGAGAAGTACGTTGAGCCCTTAGAGAAGTTCATTGATTTATTAACGAAATAATTATTTATTTACTTAAATAATTTTTTTTTTCAGTTTTTGCTATATTTCTCATTGCTCTGCCGATAACTGGCATTCTTGCCACACACCTCCCCATTAACATTGGTTCACATGGAGGAAAAGACTGTGATAAAGGCCAAGAGGAAGAAGGCCCCAGAAGGACATGGAGACATATTCGTTATCATCACGGTACTTAAAAAATTGAGAAAAAGTCAAATTAAAAAAATTAAGTAGTGTTTGTGCTCAAGTTTGGTTTTTATTCAAAGGTGGTCACCGACGTAGCCATCATTCTGGTCAAGTTCTTGGATCAGTCACTGGTGAGCAAGACCAATCTGGTGGAGTTGTAGGCCATGTTACTGGTGGAAAACATGGAAATGTTATCGGGAAAGTTACTGGCAGTCAACACCAATCCGGTGGAGTTATTGGTAAAGTAACAAGAAAACATGGAAACGTTATTGGAAAAGTTACTGGCAGCCAACACCAATCTGGTGCAGTTCTTGGTAAAGTAACAGGAAAACGTGGAAATGTTGTTGGAAAAGTTACTGGTCGTCAACACCAATCTGGTGGAGTCTTAGGTCACGTCACTGGTGGAAAACATGGAGGAGTATTGGGTATTGTCTCTGGTAACCAACACCAATCTGGTGGAGTTCTTGGTTCCGTCACTGGAGGAAAACGTGGTGGAGTTTTGGGATCCGTTACTGGTCAACAAAGTCAAGTTGGTAGTGTCTTAGGCTCTGTCACTGGAGGAAAACATGGAGGAGTATTGGGTATTGTCTCTGGTAGCCAACACCAATCTGGTGGAGTTCTTGGTTCCGTCACTGGTGGAAAACATGGAGGTGTTTTGGGATCTGTTACTGGCCAACAAAGTCAAGTTGGTAGTGTCTTAGGCTCTGTCACAGGTGGAAAACATGGCGGATTAATACACGCTGTAGTTGGTAAACATGGTACAGTTGGAACTGTTGTTAATAAAGTAACTGGAGGCAAAACTCTCGTTAATATTGGTGGTAAAAAGAAACATTGCAATAAAGGAAGTAATGACGATGGTGATAATGATGATGACGACGACAGTAACGATGGTGATGATGACAACAACGATGATGGACAAAGCGGTTCATCTAGTTCAAGTCAAAGTTCAAGTTCCGCTAGCTCATGGAGCAAATCAATTTCTGCTGGTCGTCGACACAGATGGATTAAGGAATGGGATTCTGGAAAAGATATTATCATTGAAATAAGTGACGAAGAAGATGATGATTCAAATGACTCTGGCGTAGGAACTGATTCTGATAATGAAGACGAATCTAACGATAATTCTGATGATGTAGAAAAATCTGATGAAGATTCTGATGATGAAAATGAATCTGACGATAATTCGGCTGATGTAGATGATTCTGATGTTGACTCCGATGAACTGAATGAATCAGATGAAGATTCTAACAATGTAGATGGTGATCAGATCAAATCAGATGGTGATTCTGACGATGTAGATGGATCTGATGATGATTCTGACGATGACTCAGATGAGAACACAATCGTTGAAGATGGAGGAATTGAAGATGGTTGGGTAAAACAAATCATCTGGCGAAGAGTTCCTGGGTGGAAATCTGGAAGTCACAGTAAATCATGGGCTTCTAGTTCTAGTTCAGCATGGAGCAAAAGTAAAAGCGGTTCCGACCGTTGGAATCCCAACTGGCGTAAAAGTGTTCCTCAAAAACAATGGGATAACAATGAAGACGAAGATGACACAGGAGATGAAGATGACAATGATGATGGCTCATCAGGAGGATCGCTCATTAACATTAGTCCGAAAATAGGATTAGGAATTGGCTCCTCCATTGCTAGTAGTCGTTCCAAAGCTTCAAGTCTCAGCAAGAGTGTTAGCGGAGCCAAAGGTCTTACTTCCTCACTAGCTAAAAGTGGAGCTTCAGCTTCGAGTCTCAGCAAAAGCGTTAGCGGAGCCAAAGGTCTTACTTCCTCACTAGCTAGAAGTGGAGCTTCCGCCTCAAGTCTCAGTAAGAGTGTTAGCGGATCAAGAGGTCTTGCTTCCTCACTAGCTAAAAGTGGAGCTTCCGCCTCAAGTCTCAGTAAGAGTGTTAGCGGATCAAGAGGTCTTGCTTCCTCACTAGCTAAAAGTGGAGCTTCCGCCTCAAGTCTCAGTAAGAGTGTCAGCGGATCAAAAGGTCTCTCTTCCTCAGTAGCTAAAAGTGGAGCTTCTGCTTCAAGCCTGAGTAAAAGTGTTAGCGGATCAAGAGGTCTTGCTTCCTCAGTAGCTAAAAGTGGAGCTTCCGCCTCAAGTCTCAGTAAGAGCGTTAGTGGAGCCAAAGGTCTCTCTTCCTCAGTAGCTAAAAGTGGAGCTTCCGCCTCAAGTCTCAGTAAGAGTGTCAGCGGATCAAAAGGTCTTACTTCCTCACTAGCTCAAAGTGGAGCTTCTGCCTCAAGCCTGAGCAAGAGCGTTAGTGGAGCCAAAGGTCTTGCTTCCTCAGTAGCTAAAAGTGGAGCTTCAGCTTCAAGTCTCAGCAAGAGTGTTAGCGGATCAAGAGGTCTTGCTTCCTCAGTAGCTAAAAGTGGAGCTTCCGCCTCAAGTCTCAGCAAGAGTGTTAGCGGAGCCAAAGGTCTCTCTTCCTCAGTAGCTAAAAGTGGAGCTTCAGCTTCAAGTCTCAGCAAGAGTGTTAGCGGATCAAAAGGTCTTGCTTCCTCAGTAGCTGAAAGTGGAGCTTCCGCCTCAAGCCTAAGCAAGAGTGCTAGCGGATCAAGAGGTCTTGCTTCCTCAGTAGCTAAAAGTGGAGCTTCCGCCTCAAGTCTCAGCAAGAGTGTTAGCGGAGCCAAAGGTCTCTCTTCCTCAGTAGCTAAAAGTGGAGCTTCAGCTTCAAGTCTCAGCAAGAGTGTTAGCGGATCAAAAGGTCTTGCTTCCTCACTAGCTAAAAGTGGAGCTTCAGCTTCGAGTCTCAGCAAGAGTGCTAGCGGTAGTGGATCAGAGAGCGGCGCATCAAGTTCTAGCCAAAGTTCAGCACAATCTTCTTCATCAGCTTTAGGAGGATCTGGAGCAGGTAGCCAAGCTGCATCATCAGCTACAAGCCAAGCTTCTTCATCAGCTAATTCGATTGGCTCTGGAGCCTCAGGTGCACTTTCTCAAGCATCTAGCAGTGCATCATCTGAAGCTTCATCCGGTGCCGGTTCAATGAGCGGTAATTCATGTTTTTGCGTTAAAGTTCGTACTAACGATCCCCATGAAATCAAAATAGCATGTTTTAAATATCCTACACAAGTTGGTGAAGTTTTACAACCAGTTCCATATGATTCTGAAAAATTTCAAACTTCAATCCATTAAATGCGATCACACCTATCCGATTAATGATTAGCTGACTCAAGTTCTTTAATTTCTCTTTAATCGTAACGTTTTATTTACTCTTATGACAGGTTGATCATCATTGGGATGAGGTCTTATGTTCCCGAATCAAAATCACTGGACCTAATCAGAAAATAATGTAATGCTGATCGCCATTCTGGAGCATCATTAGTTTTTAAGAAGAAAATATGATCTCGATTGAAATTGCACTGTTATTAATTTCGCACTTTAATTTTATCATTCGTAGTAAATCAAACTGTGATTTTACAATGTAAGAAAGTATTAATTAATTATTTTTGTAATTGATTTTTAAAATCAATAAATTAATTGAATTATATCAACTAACTGTCTTTTTTATACCTCTCTACAAATTAAAAATACCTCGATACATTAGTTCAATAATAGATAACTATCCTGTACAGACTTGTATTGATGGATGATCAATTGTCCAAAGTTTTACTTCTATCGAAACTCGAAACAATCAAATTCAATTTGTAATTATTTAAATCGATTCATAATTAATCTATTGTTCATCAATTTAAAAGAAAAAAAATATAGTTCTTATAATTTATTTTAAATTAGTCAAATTTTTTCTAAAGAATTCATTAATTATTTCAACGTTGGTTGATTAGGTGATCAGTTCATCAATATGTTGAATCAACACGATAACTCAATTATCTCTTTTATATATTCATATTTTTGTTTTATTTATTTATGATGAAATTTTTCTTTAATTATTTTGTAAATTAATAACTGGGCAAGTATATTAAATATTTAATGAAAACATATTCAATAATTTTATCGAAAAGATTCTTAAATTAATATTTTATGGTAAGTAATTGTCTAAGTCTATAAAAATGATAGAACTAAAATGATAGTTATTTTTATTTATTAAATCTAAGTGTTTATGAGTGAAAATTCTATTTTATATAACATAAATTTGTAATGAAACAAAAATTATAATAAATGATAATTCATTCAGCATTATTTTGTGTTATGAATTCACTCGATAGAAACAACAAATTGTAGACACGTAAATATGTTGAATTGCTACAATCTGTAATCATATAAAAATAGTAATAAATTTTAATAATTGTCCAGTTTATGATGATAAAGATATGCAGTTTATCTTGTGGTCAGTATATATAATACAGACCCATTGATTTTCGGACAACAGTTGCAGTTGCAACTGGACTGGAAATCGACTTGATTCAAGTTATCTGAGTGCACCAAAAATGAAAGGTATACTACGTTCATAGGATAGTTAGTTATAAGGCATTACCTATTATTAATGTATATAATATTTATTTTCTTTCAGTTTGCGCGATACTTGTTATCGCATTGTCGATAAGTAGCATTTTTGCTTTAAATGTTCCTGTCAATGTTGGTGGAGCGAAGAGAAAACCACATTCCAAAGGTAATTTATTACAATTTTTTTCTGAAAAATCATTCCAATTCAGTATTGATAATTTGATTTTTATCTTAAAAAGGAGTGCTGGGTTCAGACACCGGAAAGCAAAGCCAGTCCGGTGGAGTCCTAGGCTCTGTCACAGGCGGGAAACATGGTAAAGTACTGGGTCTTGTATCCGGTGGCCAAAAACAATCTGGTGGACTACTAGGTTCTGTCACGGGTGGAAAACATGGTAAAGTACTGGGAATTGTATCTGGTAGCCAAAAACAATCTGGTGGAGTCTTAGGCTCTGTTACGAGTGGAAAACATGGTAGAGTACTGGGATCAGTTACTGGTAAACAAAGTCAAGTTGGAGCAGTCATTGGCAAAGTTGGTGGCAAGCATGGAGTTGTTGGTTCTCTTATTAGTAAAGAAGGTCCAGTTGGTGATATTGTTGGTAAAGTTACTGGAAAAAAAACTCTTGTAAGTATTGGAGAAAAGAAAAGCTGCAAAAAGAGACGCGATGATGATATCGTTGATGATGGTATTGGTGTCGATGATGATGGTATCGATACAGATGATGCTGATATTGAAGACGAAAGTGACAATAATGATAGTAGTAGCTCCAGTGCATGGAGTAAATCATCAAGCTCCGCCAAAGCATGGAGTACATCTTCGAGCTCAAGCTCAGCAAAAGTGTGGAAAACATCAGTATGGACTCCTTCGGGAAGAAAATGGATAAAAGAATGGAAGACACCAAAAGGTGTTATCATTGAAATTACCGCTGATGATGATTCCGACGATTCTGGAATGAATGAAGCTGACGAAGATGCCGAAGATGGATCAGTAGACTCTGGTGATGAATCAGATGGAGGTTCTGAAGATGGATCAGACGGAGATTCTGGTGATGGATCAGACAGCGATTCTGAAAAAGGATCTGGTAAAAAAACAAAAAAGGGATCAGGTAAAACTACCAAGAAAGGATCAGATGGGGACTCCGACGATGGGTCAGATGGCGACTCTGGGGATGGATCCGAAGGAGGTTCTGAAGATGGTTCCGAAGGCGATTCAGGAAAAGGATCTGGTAAAAAACCTAAAAAAGAATCCGGTAAAACTGCCAAGAAAGAATCAGGGGGAGACTCCGAAGATGGATCAGATGGCGATTCTGGTGATGGATCAGATGGCGATTCTGAAGATGGATCAGACGGAGATTCCAGTGATAAATCAGACGGTGATGGATCAGACAGCGATTCTGGAAAAGGATCAGGTAAAAAAACCAAAAAGGGATCCGGAAAAACTACCAAGAAAGGATCTGGCGGAGACGATAAAGATGAATCAGATGGCGATTCTGGTGATGGATCCGAAGGAGGTTCTGAAGATGGTTCAGATGGTGATTCCGGTGATGGATCGGACAGCGATTCTGGAAAAGGATCTGGTGGAAAACCTAAAAAAGGATGCAGTAAAACTACTAAGAAAGGATCAGGTGGAGACTCCGAAGATGGATCTGATGGTGATTCTGGTGATGGATCTGAAGGAGGTTCTGAAGATGGTTCCGAAGGTGATTCTGGAAAAGGTTTAGGTAAAAAAACCAAAAAGGGATCCGGTAAAACTACCAAGAAAGGATCTGGCGGAGACGGTGAAGATGGATCCGATGGCGATTCTGGTGATGAATCAGATGGTAATTCTGGTGATGGATCAGATGGCGATTCTAAAGAGGGATCTGGTGGAAAACCTAAAAAAGGATGCAGTAAAACTCCCAAGGAAAGATCAGATGGCGACTCCGACGATGGATCGGAAGGGGACTCGGGTGATGGATCAGACGACGACTCTAAAAAGGGATCCGGTAAAACTACCAAGAAAGGATCAAGTGGAGACTCCGAAGATGGATCAGATGGCGATTCTGGTGATGGATCCGAAGGAGGTTCTGAAGATGGTTCCGAAGGTGATTCTGAAGAAGGATCTGGTAAAAAACTTACAAAGGGATCCGATAAATCGCCCCAGAAAGGATCAGATGGAGACTCCGATGATGGGTCAGATGGCGATTCTGGTGATGGATCTGAAGGAGGTTCTGAAGATGGTTCCGAAGGTGATTCTGGAACAGGATCTGGTAAAAAACCTAAAAAGGGATCCGGTAAAACTACCAAGAAAGGATCAGGTGGAGACTCCGAAGATGGTTCAGATGGTGATTCTGGTGATGGATCGGACAACGATTCTAAAGATGGGTCAGATGGCGATTCTGATGATGGATCTGAAGGAGGTTCTGAAGATGGTTCCGAAGGTGATTCTGGAACAGGATCTGGTAAAAAACCTAAAAAGGGATCCGGTAAAACTTCTAAGAGCAAAGTCGATGATGATTCTGAAATAGATATTATATTACGTGGATCGCGATGGGGAGTAATAAGCGGTAGCCGATCTCGAGCTGCTAGTTCATCATGGAGTCGAAGTAATTCTGGTTCCGTTGGCGGTTGGGTTTACCGTCATGGAAAATGGCGGAAAATGTTGAGCTCTCCAAACGATGCCGAAAGTACCGATTCTAATGACGCTTCTGTAGTCGATCCTGAAAATATGAAACCCACTGTCTCAAAACGTGGTGGCAAACATGGAGGTGGAGGCAAAGGTGGTCGACGAGGTAAAGGTAAACGAGGTGGAAGAAGAAAAAAAATTTCAGCACAAGTTGGCTCTTCAAATAGCGACCGTGATGATCAAACAGAACAAGAAAATCCCTCCGGTGGTGACAACGATAATAAAAAAAATCCTACTTCAGAAAGTGGATCTGAAAACCCCAGTGGAGATGATAGCGAAAATGTTCCATCAAGTGAAAAACAACCAGAGGATGGAGAGAAGTCTCCCAGCAACAAGAACGAGCCAACTAGTAATGATAATGATAATAATCAATCCGGAGTAGATGATGGAGATGATCAATCTAGTAGTAATGATGAAAAAAGTTTATCCGGTGCCGTATCTTCAGCAAAAAGTGCATCAGCTGCTACCAGCGTTAGCAAGAGTGTCAGTGGAGCTACAAGTGGAGCTTCATCAGTAGCCAAGAGTGCATCAGCCGCTACCAGCGTTAGCAAGAGTGCCAGTGGAGCTACAAGTGGAGCTTCATCAGTAGCCAAGAGTGCATCAGCCGCTTCCAGCGTTAGTAAGAGTGCCAGTGGAGCTACAAGTGGAGCTTCATCAGTAGCCAAGAGTGCATCAGCCGCTACCAGCGTTAGCAAGAGTGCCAGTGGAGCTACAAGTGGAGCTTCATCAGTAGCCAAGAGTGCATCAGCCGCTTCCAGCGTTAGTAAGAGTGCTAGTGGAGCTACAAGTGGAGCTTCATCAGTAGCCAAGAGTGCATCAGCCGCTTCCAGCGTTAGTAAGAGTGCTAGTGGAGCTACAAGTGGAGCTTCATCAGTAGCCAAGAGTGCATCAGCCGCTTCCAGCGTTAGTAAGAGTGCTAGTGGAGCTACAAGTGGAGCTTCATCAGTAGCCAAGAGTGCATCAGCCGCTACCAGCGTTAGCAAGAGTGTCAGTGGAGCTACAAGTGGAGCTTCATCATTAGCCAAGAGTGCATCAGCTGCTACCAGCGTTAGTAAGAGCGTCAGTGGAGCTAAGAGTGCAGCTTTATCGAAAAGTAGTTCATCAGCTTCAAGTATGAGTATGTCCAAGAGTGCTTCTTCATCTCAAAGTAGCTCTTCAGCTTCAAGTTCCAGTAAAAGTATAAGCTCATCAAAGAGTGCTGCTTTATCTTCTGCCACAAGTAGTTCATCAGCTTTAAGTTCTAGTGGATCTGGATCAACAAGTCAGGCTGCATCATCAGCTAATAGTCAAGCTTCGTCATCTGCTAATTCTCTCCCATCCGGACTATTAGGTTCAGGTTCTCAAGCCTCCAGCGGTGCATCCTCACAAGCTTCATCTAGTGCCAGTTCAATGAGCGGTAATTCATGTTTTTGCGTTAAACTTCGTACTAATGACCCCCATGAAATCAAAATAGCATGTTTTAAATATCCTACACAAGTTGGTGAAGTTTTACAACCAGTTCCATATGATTCAAATATACTTCAGCCTTCGATAGTTTAAATGTGATTGCTCATATTCAGTCAATGTTCATTTAATTTGGATTACTTTTTTTATTCTTTTTTTTAATATTTCTGATTATTTTATAACAGGTTGAGCATCATCGCAGTGAGACCTATTATTCTTGGCACAATTATTCTGGATTTAATCAATGAAATAGAATCTAACGATGTGGATCATCAAATGTGCTACCTTCATGGATATCGAAGTTGTAATAGATTAATTATTTATTTCCTGTTAAATTAATTGCACGATTATTTATTCACTGTTATCTCTTGCACTATAATTATTGTGTCAATGTTAACTAAGTTTGTGTTTTATTTATTTATAAACAATCTAATTTATTCAATCATTAAAAATTACTAAATAAACAATGATCAATAAAAGCAAATTATTTCCTTTACTATGTAAAACTCTAATTGAAACTTTCACATCTTCAATCAAGGATCATGTCATTTAATAAGATTAGTTTTATGATTACACACAATTATATGATGACTTGCTCCCTCTTCGCTATCTAACAGAGATTAAGATAGACAGTGCCGTTATTATTGTCATCAGTGTGTCCACTCGGTGCTCAGCCGTTCGTGAGCAAACAAGTAAACAAGACAAGCATTATAAAAATTGTTGAAACCCTGGAATATAACATTGCATGAAGAAAGAAAAAAATTTGGTACATTAAATACTGAATAAATTCAGTAATAAATAATTAGTTTCACTAATATTCAATTGAATAAATAATAATGTCAAAAACATTGATATATTTGATGTGCTTGGCAATAGAATACTCTTTTGCGGTACAAAGTACTCATATGAACGAGAATGTAAGTAAATATAGAATTAATTTATTCATTTTTATTAAATAAAAAGTTTTCAATTTGTATCTAAAATTTTAGTTGTAAATTAGAAAAAAAGTGACCGAATATCTTATATCAATAAAATTGCTGTTTGTGTAAGTAGATATACGTTTTTGTTTACGTTCAGAGCTGATATCTTAGTTTTTTCATTCCAAGTTATTTCGAGCTCTACAGTCATAAGAGTTAAATTTGTGTTATTTTTGTATGAACTTGAGGATATTATCAATCAATTGGAGAGTATCATCTTTTATCTATTTGTTCCGATTTATTTATCTTGTTTATAACATACTCTAGTACTTCTTAATCATATTTTTTTCATTGATGTACTTTGTTATCAATTTAAAATGAATTTCATCATCATTTAGGAAAAAAATACCCAACCAGTTCCAGTTTATGGATTTGAAGTAGATTATGAGAACAATCAGTTCCTCTTAGATGGAAAACCATTTAAATATGTGTCAGGAAGCTTTCATTATTTCCGTACACCAAGAGCATTCTGGAGAGATAGGCTAAGGAAAATCAGAGCTGCAGGACTCAATGCTATTTCTACGTAAGTAGCATTGCTTAATGAGTATTAAGAAAATATCCATTCACATGTTACTTTAATGTTTATATAGTTATGTTGAATGGAATCTTCATGAACCATCACCAGGTAATTGGAGATGGACTGGGGAAGCCGATTTAGTTGCTTTTCTAACGATGGCTAAAGATGAAGGTCTTTTAGTGTTATTAAGACCAGGCCCATATATCTGTGCAGAGCGAGACTTGGTAAATAGTAAGATTTTTGATAAGATTCATGAAAAAGCATTGCAATCGATATTTTCTGATAGGGAGGGTTGCCTCCGTGGTTGATGACCTTCGTACCTGATATACGAATGAGAACATATGATGTGCGATACATGCGTTATGTTGAAATATATTTAAATGAAGTTCTGACGAAAGTGAAACATCTTTTAAGAGGAAACGGTGGCCCAATTATTATGGTTCAAGTAGGTATAAGATTATCGATCAAATGATGATAAGATGCTATTATTATTATTATTGATCTGTTTCCAGATTGAGAATGAATATGGAAGCTTCCATGCATGCGATAATGCATACAAAGAAAAACTCCGTGATATTGTTTATGAACATGTTCAGTCTAAAGCACTTTTGTATACAACAGATGGACCAACTGACAATATGTTGAACTGTGGAACTGTATTAGGTGCTTATGCAACAGTTGACTTTGGAGCAGGGAGTAATGTAACATATAATTTCAATAAGATGCGACAATACCAGGCAAATGTAAGATAATGTTAATGAGGAATTCTAGACAATACAAATTCTTGATACGGGTGAAAACTAACCGATATATTCATTATTGTTAGGGTCCTTTGGTAAATTCTGAATATTATTCTGGTTGGCTCACTCATTGGGATGAATCTTTTCAAACCGTACCAACTGATGAATTCATTAAAACATTAAAGCAAATGTTATTATTGAATGCATCAGTAAATATTTATATGTTTTATGGTGGAACCAATTTTGGATTTACAGCAGGTTTAAAAATTAGATAAAATGTTATTAATAAATAATAGGAGAGTAGTATAGTACGTGTATGCACATTCAATTAATTATATGCTGTGTTCATTGCTAGGAGCTAATTCTGGAGACAAATATTGGCCTCAGATAACCTCGTATGATTATGATGCCCCACTAACGGAGGCCGGCGATCCCACAGATAAATATTTTGCAATCCGGAAGACGCTTGCAGAGGTAACACATTAATCACTTGCGAGTAATAATTCATTCACACTGTCAATTGAGTAATCAATGAATATAATGTGTGTATTTATTCAAGTTTTTACCTCTACCTGATTTACCGCTACCAACGGTTGCACCTAAAGGAGATTATGGATCTGTTCTGCTAGAACCGGTGATGGAACTCCTAAACAATCCTGCTAGAAATTTATTTGCAAATACTGCAGGACAATTTGATGTACCACCAACCTTTGAAAAACTAAACTTTGTTAATGGCCTAGTTCTGTATGAATCGAATTTCCCTCCTAGGATCAAAGATCCAACAATTATTCATGCTGATGTTGCTGATAGAGGAATTGTCTATGTTGATAATTACCTCGTCGGCACACTCAGTCGAACTTTGAAGATCAATAGCGTAGTATCACAGAATCCCTATGCAAAGAAATTAGCGATCCTCGTTGAAAATCAAGGACATCTCAACTATGGAAATCTCATAGAAGATTGGAAGGTACAACTTCCATTATCTACGTATTAATTGAGTTACTGACGTAAATTTATTATTACAGGGAATATTTAATGTCCATGTTGACGGCAAAGTCATACCCAAGTGGAATGTCACAAGTTATTCATTGGGCGAGATGATCTCTCTGAGAAATTTCTCTACCATCAAAATGGATCCAGGCAATCTTGTCAATGGTCCGGTATTACTAAGAGGAACTTTTACCATCAAAAATGATCCACTAGATACTTATTTAAACACTGCAGATTGGGGCAAAGGTATTGCTTACGTCAATGGTCACAACCTTGGAAGATATTGGCCACAAACTGGTCCACAAATTACACTTTATGTTCCCTCAGCATTCTTAATGACCGGAGTTAACGAATTGGTCATATTAGAACTTGAATACATACCCAATAAAATAAAAATGAAACTCCAAAACACCCCTAATCTGGGCATTCCAACAACGAAAGTATTCAATGATATGTAGACATAAAATTTGCTTTAAATCTTTACTTATTTTGTAGCTATGTTTAAATACATTTGTAATAAAAAATATTTTTTTTTTTTTAAATTTTTTCTCATATTTATTAAAAATATAATTATTTAACATCTATTTCCAAAAATACCTTAATTAACATGTACATATAAAAAATAAATTACTCATGAAAGTACTTTTATTGGACAGATTTCATATCGAATAAAACTCGAAATATATTAGTAGGATTAATTATTATACCGTAAGGATTTGAATCTTTAGTGCAACCATCCCAGTATGGATAGTATGGATAAGTTTTTAAATTTCTAGGCGGCTCCCTATAGAGACAGGTAGCTCCACGAAGCCATTCAGATGTTTGAAGAGGAATCGGTGATAACATCTGAACACCCTCAAACCTAAAACTGTTGTAGTTCAGTTTCTTTATTTTATCAGATGGAATTTTCATCATGCGAGGTTGGATCACCGCTACTCCTGGCATTCCTTTGGGAGACTTTAGAGAAGGACAACCCCCAATCCAAGTTTCTCCCAACGGTTGTTCTTTAAGCGAATTAAATACTTTGTTACACGCTACAATATCAGATTGTAAATGGTAATTGTTGTATCCATCAGGCATTATATTGTCCTCTATCATAAAATTTGCTTCATTGTATTCAACATTTGGGATTGGGTTCAAACGGGCGAAAGTCCTGCGACAACCGGGAGGCACTTTTTTTGATCTCATTGACGTAACTACGGTTCTGAGATTGCTAAAAATTATTTTTCCAGGATCAGGACGCCATTTTGCTTTTTTGGAGGGTCTGTATTCCTGAGGCAAGACAGGTACGAAATCAAGTCCCTCATGCGTAAATGTGCCTAGTCCTTCAATATAGGCGGTCGCAAACTTTGGAAAAGCAGTAATGCGTGAAAGCAGTGCAACTCGCTCAGCATTGGGTGTCAAATTGTAAACTGCTGACGGGTCAGCTAATTTCTTAGCATTAGTCGCAAAGACAAGAGCCAGTTTTTCTTCAGTGAAGGCCAACATGACCCGATACATTGAATGTAATGGAAAAATGTGAGAATATATATCCATTTTCTTCGCAATTATTGCTGACCATGTTACTGCTAGTCCAACACCTCGAGTACTCACTTGAATCGCTCGGCAGTACGTTGTGCGACTTTTTATTACATTTTCCAATGTCGGTTCGTCTGTAAAAGACTTTTTCACTTCTTCTTTTACCTTTTCTTTAGCTGTATACTGGATACATCTTTTTCCGTTCTTTCTTAATTTTTTTGACTTTAAGTTACCTTCTGTTTTGGTTGGTTTAGCATTATCTGTTTTGGATTCCATGAAGTCTAAAACAAACAGATAAGTTTCAATTAAACAAATTCAGCTGTAGAAGAAGATAGCATGCATACAAAGAATTAGAATAAAATATTATTAATAAAAATTACTTTAACATAATGAATACATGCTTTTGTGCATTCATTTCATAACAGCACATTTTATGATTAGCATAACAAGTAACAATTTACTTCTTGATCGATAGATGGCAATCTGTAGGTACTGTATTTATTTACATTACAGTGATTTTTTCAGAGTGTCTAAAAACTTCTAAGATAGTGTGTTGTAATAAGTTTGAAATAAAAACGAAATCATGTGTAAGATAAGTTTAAAATCAGTAATATATTCTTCATTTATCATCATAGAAGTTCTCAGTGTGATACTCCATTGTGAGGCTTATGTAAATGTATGTAAATGCTAATTATCAATTCAAGTATTCGTAAGCTTCATGCTCATGCACTCTGTCTGAAATAGTAGTTGATACGTTATCTGCTTGTCATTTACACAGCATTAGTATTCTATTGCATGTACGGGAATATTTCGTTAACACGTTTTTAAATTCTTTAGTGTTTTAGCTGTCAATCTTTTTTTGTTTTTAATAAAACATATCTACTGAGACATTCATCAAAAATTGTTTATAACAAAATATTTATGCTGTTGATTGTCATAATTTAATGAGATCAACATTACAATCTAATAAATATTCCAAATAGGGCACTCAACTGGATCCAGTTGATGGATTTGAAGTAGACTATGAGAACAATCAGTTCCTCTTAGATGGAAAACCATTTAGATATGTGTCAGGAAGCTTTCATTATTTCCGTACACCAAGAGCATTCTGGAGAGATAGGTTAAGGAAAATCAGAGCTGCAGGACTCAATGCTATTTCTACGTAATTAAATCATTCATGTTACTTATCAGTTTAGTTATTATAGGTTTAGTCGAACTTGAGTAAAAATAAAAAATCGCTGGACTATTAAGTCGAACAACAGTCATTTAGGCTATAGGGCAGGCATGGGCAACGTTTTTTAAGTCAGAGTACCTTTTAAGATTAAGAGTACTCGTACAATAAGGTCCACAATGAAAATTATATTAAGGAATCCAAGTACTGGGTAACAGTTACTCTGAGAAGTACCACTTACCCATGCCTGCTATAGAGCACCATACAACAGTCTTACATAGTCCTGATTATTTCTAAAAAATTCTGAACGTTGCACTTACAGACATGCAATGATCAGAGTTTCAAGAAAAGTAAGATACAATGCAAAACGGCAGTAAATTGGACGTACGACAGTTGAACTTAATCCAAAAGAACTATTTCCATATGAACATACATGTATATTTATAAATTAAAAATAGGTTATGCAACTATAGGCTAAATTATGAATTAACAAAACTTATTTCACTATATTTTGTATAGTCGTTGATAAAAAATATGTATGTTCATTTTTATAAAAATCATCTTTTGACCATCGACGATCCCAATACCAGCAATCACCTGATAACTATTAATCATCACATTACTAACAACAAACTTATCAAATGCAAGAGTCCTACTATCACCAAACTTAGCATAATCCGAATACGATAGCACTATGATAAACTCAGAAAATTTTGTACAACCTTATGTTAATTATCTACTATTTAATGTCCACAATGATAATCCGAATTATCAAATTGGAAATCAACAGCTTAATTTGCTACAAAGTGATATAAATGATGCTAGAAGTAATTATGTTCAATAGTAACCTATTTTTTTCCTTCTATGCAATGAGTTATTTTCACTTTTATCATTAATATTAATAACCATGCATTATAAGTATGTTTTATCCAGATTTATATGTTATAACAAGTATATATGAATGCATGTTTATTGTTTTAATTCTATATTTAATAAAATAAAATATTAAAAAGCTGAAGGCCTTCGGGCGATGGCTGGCTGCATACCTCTGGTTGCAGTCATCACAATAAAATTATTATTAAAATCAATCTAATTGACTTGCATTAAATTTATTTTTAGTATATGGAAATACTGTTGTCCGGTCAAGATAATGGCAACCGGCTATTAGAAATTATGTTCAAATTTACGACTGTTGTACGACCACTGTAGATTTTATAATTTATTTTTACTTGGGAAATTCATTAATATAATTAGTTAATTATGTAGTTACGTAGAGTGGAGCCTTCATGAACCATCACCAGGTAATTGGAGATGGACAGGAGAAGCTGATTTGGTTGCATTTTTAACAATGGCTAAAGAAGAAGATCTTTTAGTATTATTGAGACCAGGACCATATATTGATGCTGAACGAGACTTGGTAAATTTATCTATTATCAATTGTTTTCTATTTGAATCTAAAAAATAATTTTAATTGCATTGTTCTGTTTTAAAAGGGAGGATTGCCGTTTTGGCTGATGACTTTACATCCCGACATAAAATTACGTACAAACGATGAACAGTATATGAGATATGTTAGAATTTACCTTGATGAAGTGTTGAAAAGAGTGAAGCATCTTTTAAGAGGAAACGGTGGCCCCATTATCATGATTCAAGTATGAACAATGTTTAACATTGTCTTTAAAAGTAAATATATTATGTGTCCTGTTAATCAATAGGTTGAAAATGAATATGGTAGTTTCAACGTGTGTGATAAAACTTATACAGAAAGCCTTCGAAATATAATTAATGAGCATGTCGAATCAAAGGCGGTATTGTACACAACAGATGGATGGAAGAAAAACCTGCTAGAATGTGGAGTAATTTCAGGTGTTTTTGCAACTGTTGACTTTGGAATTTTTGACGATATTTTTCGCGCATTTAATTCACTGCGAAAATTTCAGGAGAAAGTAAATAATTGATAAAAAAATGTATATAGGATGAATAGATCAAAAGATATGTAATAATCGTTCATTTTTTTATAAGGGACCGCTAGTAGTCTCGGAATTTTATTCTGGATGGCTCACTCATTGGGATGAAACATTTCAAGTAATACCAACTAAAAGATTCATCCATTCACTGATACAAATATTATCATTGAATGCATCAGTAAATATTTATATGTTTTATGGTGGAACCAATTTTGGATTTACATCAGGTTCAAAGAAATATTACATAATAAATAAGTAAAATTGGCGATGGAATAGGTTTTAATTGTTTACTCCAAATATTAGGAGCTGATGGTGATGAAAGATTTAGGCCTGTAATAACCTCGTATGATTATGATGCCCCACTAACGGAGGCCGGCGATCCCACAGATAAATATTTTGCAATCCGGAAGACGCTTGCAGAGGTAACACATTAATCACTTGCGAGTAATAATTCATTCACACTGTCAATTGAGTAATCAATGAATATAATGTGTGTATTTATTCAAGTTTTTACCTCTACCTGATTTACCGCTACCAACGGTTGCACCTAAAGGAGATTATGGATCTGTTCTGCTAGAACCGGTGATGGAACTCCTAAACAATCCTGCTAGAAATTTATTTGCAAATACTGCAGGACAATTTGATGTACCACCAACCTTTGAAAAACTAAACTTTGTTAATGGCCTAGTTCTGTATGAATCGAATTTCCCTCCTAGGATCAAAGATCCAACAATTATTCATGCTGATGTTGCTGATAGAGGAATTGTCTATGTTGATAATTACCTCGTCGGCACACTCAGTCGAACTTTGAAGATCAATAGCGTAGTATCACAGAATCCCTATGCAAAGAAATTAGCGATCCTCGTTGAAAATCAAGGACATCTCAACTATGGAAATCTCATAGAAGATTGGAAGGTACAACTTCCATTATCTACGTATTAATTGAGTTACTGACGTAAATTTATTATTACAGGGAATATTTAATGTCCATGTTGACGGCAAAGTCATACCCAAGTGGAATGTCACAAGTTATTCATTGGGCGAGATGATCTCTCTGAGAAATTTCTCTACCATCAAAATGGATCCAGGCAATCTTGTCAATGGTCCGGTATTACTAAGAGGAACTTTTACCATCAAAAATGATCCACTAGATACTTATTTAAACACTGCAGATTGGGGCAAAGGTATTGCTTACGTCAATGGTCACAACCTTGGAAGATATTGGCCACAAACTGGTCCACAAATTACACTTTATGTTCCCTCAGCATTCTTAATGACCGGAGTTAACGAATTGGTCATATTAGAACTTGAATACATACCCAATAAAATAAAAATGAAACTCCAAAACACCCCTAATCTGGGTGTTCCCTCAGTATATGAATACAATGAATTTTTTTAGTATTCCATAATTTTATTTTTAATTAAAAAATAATACTATAGTCACTCTTAGTTTTTATGAATAAATACTGTCTTGAATGTAGAGATTGACAACTTATTACTGTATATTATGGAATTAACAAATTGTTTTCTTATTATTAAAAAAAAACCATCTTACTGCTTTGTTTATGCGACGTAATAATTTAATTGATTGACCATGATTTTTGTTCTCTCTTTTATGCTCCGATAATTGTTGATGATCATGCGAAAACGATTTCTAAAACTAGTTTGAATAGTTTGAATAGAAGTGTTAATATCCTTTGAATGATAAATGAGAAATACTCTCACTAGGACGTCCGGTATATCGAGTATTATAGGATCATTTTAACTCCTGCATGCACGAGTCGATTGTTATATTTATGAAGTTGTTCATTACTCGGCATTTTGAGTATCATCTAACAATGTCAGCATGAAAAACTCCACCTCTTTAAAAAGAAATGATACCTTTAGCATGCGCAAAGGTAATGTTTATGATATTTTTGATCTTCCTGGTTCTTTACTAGTTCACTACTTTATTAAGTATTCGGTCGATTCTGTCAAAAAATTATCAAAAACTGTGTCTCTTGTATTTTTCTGTATTTCTTCATTATGTCTGAAAAAGCAGTTTACGTAGATCAAGAAAAACCTTTAGATTTAAGCTGTGCATCATCCAAACAGGTACAATCGGTTTTAGCCAAAGAGCAACGAAAGTTACCTTGTGGTACATGTGGAAAGTTCTTTGATAGACCTTCCTTGTTAAAGAGGCATGTTCGCATACATACAGGTAAAACTTGTTATTATGTTATTCTAACAGCAATTCATTTAATCAATCACATAAAAACATTAAAAAACTGAATAAAAATGTCTTGTATATGATTAAAAGGAGAAAAACCACATGGGTGTTCAATTTGTGGAAAAATGTTCAGTACAAGCAGTTCTCTTAACACTCATACAAGGATTCATACTGGAGAGCGTCCTCATAAATGTTCCCTATGTGGAAAACGATTCACAGCGTCTTCTAATCTTTATTATCATCGTATGACACATTTCAAGGCAATTATTATTATACTTTTTAAAAGATAAAACAAATAATTCATTGATAATAAATCAAAAAATTAATTCTGCTATTTTTAGGAAAAACCACACAAATGTAATGATTGTGGTAGATCTTTCACCACACCAGGTGATTTAAAAGCGCATGAATATTCTCATACTGATAACTGGCCACTACGATGTACTATTTGTGGACGAGGATTTTGTAAACCTGCAGCTCTTCATCATCATTTTCGAGTTCATAGTAATGAAAAATCAACTACTAATATTTCTAAATTAACACAACTCTTTAAAAGTGTTTCAATTTTAAATTAATTGAAATTGAATTACTATAAATCATATTATTTACATAGTTAATCAATGAATATGATTTTGATTTAAACCTATTACGTAATGTCTAAAACTTATGAGATTTTTTTAATCTAAAATCGTTCATTGACTGATTATGCTATTGATAAATTGAATAATAATTTGGAAATAATAGCCTTATTAATAATTATCTGATACTATTCATTACAGATAATCAACGAACTGAAAAACTTAGCCAATGTAAGTTTTGCTTGCAGACATTTTCCAGTCTGAAACAATTACAATCACATAGATGTTCATATGAAGCAAAACTGAATTTATTGAATACAGAAGTTCTGAGATATCAACAACAAAAAGTATTAAAATATACAAACACCATTTTACCATGGGGTTTTTCATATCTTTAATGTAACTACGTAAAAAAGTAAACAAATTATTGTTATACAAAATATTTTTATTCAGTTTTTAAAGAAGTTTCATTTTGTGTACCTGATCTAGCTTCACGAGGTTCTTCCTCCATGGGCAGATCTTTTATTTTTTCTTCAACAACCTCCATCTGAAGCTCTGCATTTTCAACTTCATTACTTTTAGAATGTTCTGAAGAATTCTCTTCAAGTTCTTTATTTTCTGCTTCATCTTGAGCATGATATGCAGCAGATTGTGCTGCTTGGATTTTAGCTGAAGTATCATGTTTTAGTACCTCTCGAAGAGCCATAGTCGCATAGCAAGATGATTTCAGAGACATCTCTAGAATAAGGGCTTTATATTTACCATCTAAAAATAAGAAAATATTTAATTAATCTTACTAGAAGATTATAGTTGCTTATAATTTTGTCAGTGAAACGACCAAATATTCATCATTGATTAATAATTTGTAATCAACAATGTATTATTGATTCAATAAATAATTATTGTGAATTTACCTGGACAATCTTTTGGTACTGGATTTCCTCTTAATTCGTTAATGTCACTGGGTATCAAATCATCGCGAAGGTCCTTATAGTGCATTACTCTCCATGATAAATCTTCTGGAATCTCAAGAATTTTTCTATAAGCTCCACTAAGTGAATACTTTTTGTTCTTCTGCTTCAAGTTTGTATTCAACCCATCACTGGCTAAAAATTCTTCATACCAGGCTTTTGCATAAGGCGGATAGACTACACGCCATCCAGGCTGAGGCATCACCACATCAGCTAGTGTATAATTGGGCAAATCTTCTTCAGTTAAAATTTTAACATTTGGAAGTGGATAAAGATGTTCTTTTTCCAAAGTCGAGTCATCTTTTTTGGTGTTCTCCCCATTTTCTGTTTCATTAGGCCCATTTTCATTTTTGTCATTTTTCAAGTCTTCCTTTTTTTCATTAGAATCTTTTGCATCTGCAACAACTTCAGTTTCCATTTTTTCTTCAGAACCATTATTGTCATCAGCAGTGTCAATTTCAATTTTATTTACTTGGTCAGTATTATCTTCCTTCATTTGATCGTCATTATTTTTCATTTGATTTTCACCATCTTTCATTTGATCTTGACTACTTTTAACTTGATCGTTATCTTTTGTTTTATCTGCATTATCTGCTAGTTCATTTTCTTTAGGCTTATCTTCATCTTTCTTTTCGACTAAGTTTTCCGTTAGCTCGTCTTTTTCATCTTCATTGGCTAGAGAATAGTCTAAAGTCTCAACTACTTCTTTGACATTAGATGTTTCATACACTAGATCACCAACAATTGGTTTACGGCCATATTCCTTAATTCTTCGTGAAACAATGTTGTTCCATACAAAACTTTGATAAGCATGAATATACATCAATCGTGTATTTCTCGGTAAAAAATCTAAAGCTCCTTGTAAATTAGTTCCATTCTTTTTAAGTCCTTCCAATAATTTTGCCTCAATTTTATCACGTCTTTGAATCTTCTGCAAAGCTGCACCAGCATCTTTGGTAGTTGAATACGTTTCTCTAGCTTCTGCTAAATCATGTTGATCACCATCACGAGGCTTTAATATCAAATCAACAGCCTCTTCCCACTTTGCTTGAAGAAGAGCTTTTCCAATATCATGAGTAGGAATATCAGCAACTGTACCAAATCTCTGAAGTCCATAGTAATTAATGAATCCATTATCTCGTAAACTAGTCATTGCTTTATCAATCTCTTCATCAGGTGCAGTGACGTTCCTGAGTGCAATAGTGAAACGGTTTCCTTTTAGGCTACCAAGTTCGAGTTTCTTGTCAACAAACTTAAAGTTACCTACAAAAACCCCACGAACTTTTTTTGCTGCTCTTAGTATATCTGTTGGAGCAACTCGTCTCAGACTAACCCATTGACTAGTACTAGCACGACGATCTTTTGTCCCTGCGTAATTGAACGTGTTTGGTTTTAAATGTAAATGTATCGCTATCTCATTTAATGCATTCATTGTATCGATATTGACTTTGTGTAAAATAAATTCACAATAATTTCCATCACTCCAAGAGCATTCAGAATTTTCACGTCTGAACGTGTACCCACCTGAAAAGATTTTCAATAATTTTAATCATAATTATTACTTTGAAATCATAAATAATATTTTTACCTTTTATTGGCATACGGCCTCGGGAAACAATCATTATTTTTTTGCCATCTTTTTCAATAGTTTGACTCACTATTGAAGGACTTGATTTGGCAAGATCATGTATCACACAACGTTGACCTTTATTTAGTTCAGTAACATCAAGTTCAATAGATTTTATGTCAGAATCACTTTTTAAAAAAAGCTTAATTTTTTCAAGCATTTCTTCAGGAAGACTTGTTTCCGAATCGGCTATTTCAAGTTTCTTTTGAGAAGGAATCTCTTGAGTTGTTAATTTAGCTATTTCTCCATTATGATTTATTTCACATACATGGAAATCATGATAGCGTTCTTTTACAATTCCTGTAAAATGATCATGATCTCCCATGAACTCAGTAATTCCTACATCAACTTCTTTGAGACGATTAGTCACATCGAATTTTGTTCTCTTCCTTTCATGAGATTGATTCATTGGTGGTCTTTTGTTATATTGTCTATTCTGATAACCACCACGGTATCCTCCTATAATCATGGATTTAAAATCAATTTTTTATTAACTAAAAATTTGTTAATAAGCTTTACAGTGAATTTTCATTTTATTGCAACTTTTTAATACAATTAAACAATTAAATGAATAAATTACTCATTTGAAATACAAAAAGGTTGTATATTTGAGTAAAAAAATAAATAAAAATTACCTCTGCCTCGACCTCGTCGTTGAAAACCACCTTGGCTTTTATTATCCCGCCAAGACATTTTATTAAACGAAATAAAAATATTCTTTATTCAATGAATACTAATATAAACTGATATAGATTGTTTAATCTAACACAAGTAGTTTGCTAAAACTAGGAATATTGCGAACCACGTGCACAATATTCTAAGTTCATCCAATACAGTCCAGTAGCTGTAACGGTTATGTTTCTGCCGGTACGAAATACGATAAAAGCTGACGAGATGATTCTCAGAAGGGGAAGGATATATTATTGTTTTGATTTCAGGAAATTTGTAAATACAAAGTAAGAGAATAAAGTGTTACATTTTGGAATTGTTTATCTTTTTTTAATGTATAATATATATATATTTTTTATATATGACTCATTTCACACTAGTAAATCACACAATAACAGCCTGAAATAGCTCAAACGTACGGCTAATATCTATTTCACTGTTGTGTTATTATTGCCAGTTTTAATTTTTTACTTTATCTACTATCTTCTGTTTAGTCGCAATACGGCCCTGAATTCTAACGACGCAGTTGCATCAAGTTGATGCTGCTCTCTAGTGGAGCTCTATTGAGCTACTGTAGCTTTCAAACATAAATAAAAGCTTCAATGAAAATTAATAAATACATCTAATTATATGTAATTATATATTAATACTCTAAATTTAAATTTAAGAAAAAAGTAATATAATAAATAATTAAAACTGGCAATAAGTAGTAATCTATTATTTATGGAATGAACTGGATGCAAATGATTGATTGGAGTAGATTACTGCCGGTCTTGGTCCCCAATGCCGGATTCATAAAGTTATTTTATAAAAAATATAATATAATGGATCATCATTCAACTTTACAATAGCCTTCAGGATCACAAGATATTGCATGTCTTCGACTGAAATTAAAAAATTTATTGTGAGTATTTATTTAATGTAAGTAAAACAGAGACAAAAATTGTTAATTTATTTCACATTAACGCTTTGATTTTGATATTTTAGAAAAAATGAATTATTCAGGAAGTTCATTTATTCTTTTACTTCATTCTCGAGTAATATAATATATTCACATTTCATCTTGTGCGGATTAGTATCAAAGTGTTAATTATTTGGAAAAAATGAAAGAAGTTATAAATAGTGATATTCAGTATAAAATATTCATCACTTGATAATACCTTTCCTTTTGTATTTGCACTTGCACTAACTGCTTCCTTTGTACCGTTTTCTATTTCTTGTTTTTTACTTTTAAATAACTTGGTAATTTTAGCTGAAATATTATGAAAAAAGACACATTAATATATATTTTGTCAGTTATTTACAAAAAAAAATATTTTCTTTCAACTATTTTAGTGATCTATACCTGTACCACGAACTGGAGATTGGATAACATCTGCATCATCAGCAATCATGTCTATTTTTTCATCAATTGTTTTAACAACTTTTCTTTCAAAATGATCCACTTTTTCTAGGCTATCAACAATTTTTGCTTCTAAAGTTACAGTCTCATCTGTATCAGCTTTCGACTTGATTGATTGGCTTTTTTGACTACTTGCTGACTTCCTTTCAGATCCATTCATAGATTTTACTTCTTCGTCTTCTTTCGGATGAACTGAATTCTTAGAAGGAGATTTCATCTTTATTTGCGTATCAATATTCACAGCTTTTTCAGAACCGCCCTTAGATGATGCCGAGCTCGGTGCGTTAGAAGATACTTGGCTTCCGGCACTGTTAATTTTTTGTCGTGGTGGCTTTGGTGGTGGAACAGGAAGAGGTGGCGATGCTGGCTTCTCTACTGTAATTTCTTCATTATTGATAGTTTCTTCTTTTTTCTTTGATTCCTCTACAGCTACACTGTCACCATGTGACTTGGAAGACTTTGGTCTTTCATTATTTTCTGTTATCGATTTGTCATCTTGATTGTTAGCCTCGTTTGTTAAATTTGCCACTCGTTCATCATTATTTCTGTTTTTTTCTTCATTTACTACATTTTCAACATCATTATCTTTATCTTTTATTTGTGTAGAACTATCATATTCAGTAGGTTTCTTTGGACTCTCTGGTTTTTCTACACTATTTTCGTGTTTTTCTGATTCTCCTACCCCGTTTGTGTTATTTTCTATTAAAGTTTTATCGTCAGTGATTTTATTTTCTAGTGGATTATTATTTTCATTGGGTTTATTTTCTACTGAATTATCATTTTCATTTGATTTATTTTCTTCTGTATTTTCAGTTTTATTGTTTTCATTTTCTAATGTTGCTTCGATTCCATTAGTTTTGTTCTCTGCCGAATCTATATCCTTCTCTGATGGTTCATTTTCACCTTTCTCTGCTTCACTTCCATTATCAACATTCTCCAGTTTCGTTGGACTATCATTTTGTATGCAAGTTGGAATTTTGAGTGGTGGTAATGAATTATTTTTCTGAAAAATAATAAATGTCATTATCTAAGTTATAAAATCATATTATGAATAATTACCATTTGTTTAGCTTCTTCATTATCATTTTCTCCATTTCTTCGTCGTCCAACAAGAATCGTGTGACATCCACCACAAGCGACCTTAAATAATAAATCATTCAAAACATTATTGAATTATATGTTTAATCGCTTGACATTTGCTTATGTAAATACGTACATTTGTTACGAAAAGTTCTTGATACTTGGACGCGTATGTTAATTCGTGTACATTATTCTCATTCTCCTCAAGACCCAACTTTCCGTGTCTTCCATCACCGCAGGTGAAAAGTTTTCCAGACTCTGTAAATTAATATTAATTAAATATTAACTTTACATTATTAAGAAAATTTATTTCATTCATGAAGCAATAAAATATTACCTGTAACAACAGCTATATGGCTTTCTCCACATTCAATTTTAGCAATAACTTCATTTTCTAAAACTCCACGAGAAAGTTGCTTTGGTGTTTGAATTTCAGTTACATTCGTACCCATTCCTAGTTGACCACTAGCATTGCTACCAGTACAGTAAAGGTTTCCATCATCTAAAAGTCAAATTAAACTTCATTATTGAATGAGTTTTTTTTAGGTTGATTGAGAATAAATAAAGTAATTTTATACGTTAAGGTATTCGATATTTTGACTTGGAGTCAATTACATATAGAATGGGCGTTATTAAGCCTTTCAAGGTTATTTTAAATGATACAATTATATTTCATTAAATTAAAATACGTTACTAATTAATCAGTAATGTTAATAATGGTTATGACATGACATAAAATATTTTTTACCGCCGAGAATAAGTGTATGATGACCGCCACAAGCAACAAAAACAGCTGTAGTCGACAATTGCATCGGTTTCGGAGCAACTTGAGTTCTAAAATCCAATGTAATGCCGAGCTTTCCACTTTCTGCTTCTCCACAAACATATACTGCTCCACTCTCTTCGTAAAAAAATTCAAGTCAATTAGTTCGTTTAATTATACCCTTATATGTGAACTAGATAGTTTTTATAGCATTCTAGCAGAGTCATTACCAGTAAGAAATGCTGAATGATAATATCCAGCACTAATTTGCTTAACTGGCTCTGGTAGCTGGACTTTTGTTGGTATATTCACTAATCCGGAAGTTCCTGGTAACCCTAATTGTCCTTCTAAATTACTTCCCCAAGCCAACACCTCACCATCACTTGTCAGAGCTAATGAATGATGAGATCCAGCAGCAACCTGTAAAATTTTCGGTCCTGCTATTCCACAATCGTAGATTGGAACTGGTGAGCTTGAACATTCTCCTAAAGACATTTGTCCACGTCCTAATTGAGATTCTTGATCACTACCACAGGCAAAAATTTTTTGTTCTCCTAAATGAAAGAAAGCCGTAATTATTTTCAAGAAAAATTCATCAAGTTGTTAATCTACATCAAATTAGAAATGTTTGCTACTCCTCAGAAGTATTTAAATAGTAGCATTTTTTGTCATGATTTTTAAAAATATTAAATAACATTTTGTATTTCAGGAATTTTTTAAAATGTTACCCGGATGTCATGATAAAAATTCTTACCAGTGCATATCAATGTATGGGCTCTCCCGCATGCCACGTGAGTAACTTTCTGTGGTTTGAGTACTGCAAATCATCATAAAGATAATTGTTAACACCTAATAGTTATATTAAATATGAACAAGTTAATTTATGTGCATAGATCTTAGAAATCGATGAATAAAAGCTTAAAGAATATTTGCGTCCTTAATTTGGCACGCGCGATCACTAACTTTTTACGCACGAAGGCTTGCTGACGTGATTCTTATGACCAAGACCTAGCTGACCCCAATCGTTGCTGCCGAAGACGAAGAGTCGTCCACTCTCTAGGTGAGAAAACAAAAAGACAAATTAGCACTGAAGCTCTATTCTGTTTGTGTATGAATATTATCAATATTTTTTAAGTGGTTAATATTCATTTTGAAAGGTAAATATTTTTTTGTTGGACTAGTTTAATTAGTTATAAATCACGAGAGTCAAACAGGGCAATAGAGGCTGTCAGGCATATTATTGTTTACGCTTAGCGTGTTTGTATCGATTTAGGGTGGACAGCGGTTATCCTTTGCACTGAAGCATATAATATCTCTAACATGTTGCAGCAGCTGTTAATCATGAAATGCTCGCTTCAATCATTTTGCCGTAATTACCCACAGTGATAGCCTTTCATATCTATCGTCAAATCATTATAACGTGAAAATCAATAATGTGATTGAATTTTATTTCTGTTTCTAAATAATAATGTATATAGATTTCTTAACTACGTAGAAGACATTGCTTTGTGATTTTGGTTTATTATGATTCCAACAAATCGACCTCGATAAAGATAATATTGTAGCAAAGTGGGTAACACGTGATAACTTTTACTGGAAGAGAAGTTCAGGTATTGACTATTGTATAAATCATTTACTGATGTTGTTATATGAATCGATATGTTTCACATCAACTTTTCTAATCAATTTCCAAGTGAAGTAGCAGTTGGATAATTGATACAAACAAAAATACCATGTCCTCCAAAAGCTTGTTGAATGTACACAACTACTCAAGATTTTTCCAACGCTTTTCTAAGTGAGAAATAAATTCAAGAAAAATTATGAATCACTTTTGTATTTTTTATAATTGAAATTTCAATATTCTTGATTAAAGAATATTAGAATAAAGATATTTCTAGATAATACAAAAATCTACATTCAGGTGTTAAATTATTCAAGTATCTCAGATCTTTTAAACTAATTTTAAATTTAACTATACAACAATTACTTAATTGATATTTTTGAAATATGATGAATTTAATTTACAGATTACACTTACGGCAAACAACAGCAGAATGTTCATCACCACAAGTGATACTGATAACAGGATCATTCCTTATAAAGAAATGTGAAGGAATATTATCAGCGAATCGACTGCGCCCTAAAGTGAAAATTGCACCGGTGTCTGAAATGAAAGATAAAAAATTTAGCGAATTAATAATTATTATTAACGTAAATTTTAATATTATATAAATTTTTCTAGTGTATTTTAATAGTGATAAGATAAAAATTTTTATCTGTTTGTATAGAACTTATAGTGAACACGAAGTGTGTGTTCTATAAAAATGTCGTTGGCCTTACGTAACTATTTTTTATTGATTCAGGATAATGTAATCATAAGCACGTGTGCATATGACTGGTTATTGGTAGACAATGGTCAAACGTAATCTGATTCACACCTGCAGGTATAGTTACATTTAATTCTAATGTCCTATTTTTGTTTTTAGTGTAGTATCGAAATACTTATTTTTCTTTTATGATTCATTAATTCTCAAGCAACATGTCCTTGACGAAAATCTATTGTTCTGATTTAATCTTTTAATTTTTGCAGGGTAAAAGTGTAGCTTAGTAAAGCTTGAGTTGTAGATGCTTTTAAGATTTTGGTCTAGATGGCCGAGGTTTTTTATCATTTAAAAATCACTAAGTCGGCACGAAACATTTATCTAAAACACGGATTCGACGGCAAAAGAAATTTAATATGATTCATTTATGAAAAATTCTATTATGAGAATCAGTGTATCCATCAACAAGAAACGACAATATTAATGACTTTGGAATTGGTTTGTTGATTAAGGTTTATGTGCCAGTAGATGAAAGGATTTGCTGACGTGATAAATAATAATATGCGTGAGACTTGTTAAATAAGGACGTCAAGGACTTTCATGCAAATTTGAAGCCCTTTCATAGACCGACTATGAATCAAGAGTATATTTCAAGTGTATTCTCAAAGGTCAGTGATGCAGTTTCAACGGGTGTGAGTCCAGTTAACAGAGGATTTACGTTTTCGCGTCTTGCTTATCAAAAGTTCAAATGTCTCTTTGCATAATTCATCGGACATTCATTTAAGAAAACACTGCGACAAATAGCAAAAAATGTGGTGTAATTCTAAATATAACAAAGTAAAAATAACACCTACTTTGTACGAGAATGATAATCAGTATGAGTACTTGAAAATTTTTAAAACATACACTTCTAGTATGTTATTACTGAAATAAGTGATGGCCTAATTGATAAAAAATAAAAGCGCAAGATGCATAAACAAACTGTAAATAATTTAAACAAGCTTCGACAGAAATCATTAATGAAACATCTTACAAGATAAAATAGATGTCTCTTATCTATAAATAGGATTTTTGCTTTGAACTCTTCTATTTTCTATTCATGAATACATTATAGTGTTCACTTGTCGTAGGTCGTCGACCTACGATAGGCAGATCGTGATCGATGCGCGCGTAAATACCATATTTGTTTGTATTTTAAATGATAAAAAACTTTTGGTAATATTGTAGCGATAAATGTATGAGTCCATGCTTTAATAATTCATGCGTAAGGAAAACCAAGAGTAAAAATAGAATGCTATCTTTCATCAGATCTCATTGAATAATAAATTCATCAAACTTGTGTAACTTTTAATAATAGGAATCACAGTTGAATTCAAAATAAATGTCTAGACAAGTTATCCAGTAATAATATTGTAAAACAGAATGTAATAATAGTGGTGCTTCATGTGCTGATCTTTACACAGTAATTTTATGTCTGTACTGATGGTACTTATGGTAAAAAAGTGAGCAGGTGCCATTCCAATTACATACAATACATTTCAATCTAATTGTTTATTAAATAAATAATGAAATATTTTGCAGGTGAAATAAATAAGAAATCTTGTGCTGAAAATAATGTGCAGTATATTGTATTTCGTGAGAAAATTTTCATAAATAGTTTACCGGGTATGTTGTCTATATCGGGCAGGCCCATGTTTACACCTTACGCTGTACAGACCAACTGCCGGCTTACCATAACATAGCGTGGTGGCAACTTGAATATTGTCGTTGCTTGGCAACTAGAAATCAATTCCGAGCAATAGCTCGCCACCGGAAAAGTAAAAACGAACATTTACGATCATTCATTGAGTTTGAAATTTTTATTCATTGTTTTAAAATTTTATTAAGATTACAAGATGAACGTTCCACTGGATTATTCCGGAAATTCATCATCATTCAATTATTCATGAAATTAGTTTGAATGGATATGCGTAATCTATTATTATCATTCATCATTTTTCTTCTCATTGTTCAATAATTAAAGAGTCAATGAATATTTTATCACGTTATTTAATCATATTTATAGGGTTTTCGTGTGCGTAGAATAACTTTTCCAATAATTGAATACTCTTAAAAATATAAAAAATACATTAACGAGTTGTGCAGTTGTTTGAGATTAAACATGAGCATTAAAAAATCGATTTAGTTAACTATTTCTTCTGTATATTATATAAAATATGTGTCAGATAATTCTGTCATTCATACTATATTGTAATTATTTCTTATACTTCAACTACTTTACTTTTCGTTTCTTAACGTTATAACTATTCATTTTTTTAATTTATTTTAAAAATTTCTTCATGTTTTATAGAACCAATAATAATATGTATTTTATATCAAGTTCCTTGTCATTATCGTAGAATGTTAATTTCATTAGAATTAGGTTTTTTTATATTATAATATCGATTTTTCGATAAATGTTGACTTTAAAGTTAAATAAATAGATTAACGTGACATTTAAAATAATGTGAAAATACCGCGCACGGTGTTGCTAATTGTGTAAATGTCCTATAGACGGCAGTAGTATACATACCAGTAAAATGTTGGTAAATATTTCTAAGTAATGTAATGAATTTGTATTGTTTTTTCACAACAGTAACTTTTTTAACGATTTTCTAGTGATACAATTTAGACAATATATTATTATTTATATGTAAATAATAATTAATGATAAAAAATGTAAATCAACTTGCAAATATTTGTTGCAAATGCATTTGAATGCGGTTTGTTGAGGTTAATTTACAATCTCAAAGTTGTAAACATTTTTTAGTTATTTACTTCGCTTTAAATAATAGGAGTATATATATTAAAGTGTACTTTGCAATATAATCTACTTTGATAATTTTTAAAAGTAATAACTTTTATGGGCTGTATTTAAATTGCTAAAAAAAAGCAAGAATTATTCAAGATTATTGATATTCCATTATTACAATCATTCCAGTAGTAATATTGTATTATTGATTAATAAATAATAAAAAAAATGGATGAAGTTCAAGATTCTAAAGAAACATCATCGAATGCTTCAAAAGTAATTGAAGATGATAAAATGAGTCATGAATCAAAAGCTGTTAGTTCATTAAATGTTGAAGTCCCGCCAAATTCCAATGATACTAAACAAGTTTTTCTATTCACTTCAATGCCTCCAAAAACTTTTCTGAGAGAAGTGCCTAAAAACAAGAGACCTCATGATGATATTGAAGAGTTTGATACTGATGAGGAAGAAGCTAATGACGATGTAAAACAACCAAAAATAGGTGATGCTGTCTCTGCTGATTATTCAAAACATTTAAGTTACGAAGGAGACTTATGCATTTATACTGATCCGGAAACTAAAAAACAGTCAATCTGGGATGCCGATAAAAATGCTTGGATTTCAAGAGATGTAGAGAAAAAAGATGAGTCAAGTAAAGATGAAGATCCAATGAAAAATTATGAGTTTGATGGAAAAAACTATGTATATACTGATAGTGCAACAAACGTAACATATAAATTTGATCAAGAGAAAAATGAATGGTTAGTTAAAGAGAAAAGTTCTGATCCTGATGCAGCAGGTGGAATCTATGGATTTGAAAATGATACTCATACATATACTGATCCTGGTGATGGATCCGTATATTTTTGGGATAAAGAGAAGAATGCATGGTTTCCAAAGGTATTTTTTCTTGTTGTTATTATTTTTATCGTTTCATTTAATGAGTTACATAACGTTTTACATTTTAAATTACTTAACAATTATTACAGATTGATGATGACTTCATGGCAAGATATCAAATGAGTTATGGATTCACAGATTCAAACACTGAGGTAAAAACATCAGCAGCATCACCTAATCCAAAAGCTGATGCTAAGACTGAGAAAGAGAGAAAAAAACTTGAAGCAAGTAAAAAATCTGCGGAGCCTCCAGCGTGGTTTGAAATAGATGAAGCTCACAATACAGCAATTTATATTTCCGGTCTTCCGTTGGACGTAACTATGGATGAACTAGTTGAGCTAGTTGGAAAATGTGGTCTTGTTGCTCGAGATGACAAGAATAAAGATAAGATCAAGCTCTACAAAGACTCAGACGGGAATCCTAAAGGCGATGCGCTATGTACTTATATCAAGGTAAGTGGAATTTAATTAAAAGATTATTACATTGATATTCATATCTGTCATCTACATACAATTATTATTTTTCGCTATAACATGAGATGTATTGGTGGTTAATATTTTGAGTTATGTTTGACAGTATTTACAAACAAAGCTATTTAATGGTAATTCATTAGATATTCACGCTGACATAATTGAAAAAAGTCTAAAATATAAAGTCGATTAAAATTAATTACACTTAATGCATATTGACAGTATAAAACAAGATGAAATATTACAGTAATTAATCAATTACAAATAGGAAAAAACTAAAACTTTATCTTGAGACTTGTACAGTCTAGTAATAAAAAAATATAAGTCTAAAACATTTATAATATTAGATATTATAAGCTCAAGAGAGAGAGCAATATTTGATTATGAATTTCTAATAAATAGAACACCTATTTTCTTGCTACAAGCAAGAATAGAGGAAGAGAGATAAATACTTATTTAAGCGATATGGTTTCCCATAAGGGAATTATTAAGTTCTCAATTTTTTAGTAAGACTTCTTCGAGCGCTATATCATTAATTTTTGTTTGGTATTGAGATAAAATTTTATCATCCGTTAGAGGTTGATGCTTAGCAGGAACTGGTCCATCTCCTAAGAATGTGTTGTATCCATAGCCTTGAGGTGCGACTTGAGTTATCTTGGGGCTCCTGTCGTGAAGGTGATTCTTGTTCGATCGATGGCGAGTTCGATTAGTTGACCTGGTGATTAATGAAACAATTTATAAAGTAATTAATGTTTTATATCAAGTTCAAGTAAGTATCATAAATACTTACGTTGCCAATGGCCTTGATCCTAAATTAACTCCATGTGCCCACTCTTGGTTGGAATTTCGTCTCCAAGTTCTTTGGGCTTTATTACGCCGATGGGATTGTAAATTGGCCATCTCCTTTCGGTACTTTTTACCCTTTTTTCTCGGTTTCATTTTTTGGTTTTGTGGTTGAAGATTAGGGTCTATTGTCTTCTTTCTTCTCCGTTCTACAATGAAAGATCTTGATTAATTCTGTCGGACATACTGATGCCTACTGAAAAAAACTGAATAACAGTAAAATCAGTAAACCTATTCGACCAGCTGGAGCTTCACATATGTAATGCTTCTTTTTAAAACAACTTCTTGGATTCCATTTATATTTAGCAAACGGATCCAGTACAATACAGTGCCAAGCATACTGATGAGGATTCCCATGACTTAAGTTTGCAAAATTCTGGAATACAATTTTTTCACCAGGCACTCCCCATTCCCAAGCCATCTGCTGCCAATTGTAGATTCCACCAATCCATCTCTCGAGCTTTGCTAAAAGTCAATCATTTTATTAATTGATTTTTCATTTAAAAGTAAAGTGATCAAGTCTAAAAAGGACTTTAAAGTGGACAATGAAGGGCAATTTTGGAAGAGGTGTCACTTGTGATGTTTTAATCGTATTTAAGGGTCGATGAGAGGCAAAAGTTTTATTGACTTTTAATCTAGAAATTTAAATTAAAAATGAAATATTCTTTTAGGATTTAATGTAATAGAAAAAACATTCGGAATATATTATTCACAAAGAATGATTTTATTCCTAGCTGTTTTTTATCTAAAGTGTCTAAGTAACTATAAAATATAAATAAAACCTATATACATTTAGCTATAAATTTTTTAAAAGCCATCAAAGACTAAGTTGTTTTTTTTCATATTTTCATTAAAGTTTTGGGATTAAAATATGTGAGATGGTTATAATTATTTTGTTGGGAGAAATATTAAAATTTCATTTTATTTATTTTTTTTTTTAAATCTCAAACTAAATATTTGATCAAACTTTTTTATTCATTTTCCTTCAATTGTATACTTAGGAGCATCTTGCACTCTACTTGCCTTTTAGAGAGCATTATTTATTCAGTATTTAATAGTAGATGTACTAAAAATTTTAAGTATATTCTTAAGCGTTCATTATTTATGAATTTTTTTGTGTTAAATAACATATGAAATGAATTACAAAAGAGTCTTAAAAGGGGAAAAAATGAATTTCTGTCATGAATAACTTAATTAAATTTATTTCAATATATATAGAGACTAGCCTGGATAATCATTCTAAAATGAAAGATATTTACATTCAAAATAAACAGTCGGTTGAGTAAAGAACGAAAGATTAAAGTAATTTAATTACAGAAGAACGTTGATATTTTACTATTTTTTCCAAAGAAAAATTCTGAAAAAGTAACCTTAGTAGTGTATGATATCTTTGGAGAAAATATCTCTACGTTGAGTTAAACGATCTTTGCATAACATCGCTCAATTGTGACCTACAAAACTTCCTCTCTAACTCAATGATGTTTTCCTAACGTACATCACTTCAATTAAAATGGAATTTTTTCCAATTTTATTGATTCAAGAGTCAAAATATATGATGCTCATATTTTGTGATTTTTCTGTAAAGATTTCAATGAAAAATGTCATGATGAAAAATATTATTATTCAACAATAAATTTCATAGTAATTCTAATAAATTGCTATCGAAGATAGTACATATTTAAATATTTTTGAATGTTTATTGCAGAAGTGTTTTATAGGATTAATTATTTGATAGAAATAAAAATTTAACGACAAATAAACCCTATCTTGTTGGTGTTTCATACAGAATTCTACACTACATCTTGGTAATTTTATGAGTTTTATACAGTCGGTATTTCGTACGTCCGTTTATGGGGCTGTAAAAGCAGTGGATTTCATATACTTGAAGCTGTTATGTTTGTGGAAAACGTATTATTAAGGAATAATCATTTTTTTCTGGAGATATTTTTCCAAAATTATATACTAAAGGATGATTTATTTTAGCAGATAATTTTAATATGCTATTTATTGCAAATATTTAACCTGTTATCTTTTTTTTTGCTCAGTACGATACATGAATCAGTAGATAAATATTTTTAAAGGTATCAAAAAATAATTAAAAATACATAGAGAAATTATTCTTAGTTTTAGAATAATAGTTTTTTCAATGTAAACAGTAGCAAAAGCAAATTTTTGAAAGAAGTAAGTTATCCGTAACTTTTTTGCATGATAAAGTTATAGCAAATATTATTCATATTCGATCAGAACCATTAATTTATTGCTTTGTTTACCTCGTTTTTTTTTTAACTTACTGAATTGATCGCCCATGAGATATTTTCGTAGAATTCGATCCTTGCCATTTTTATCCAAAACTGCCAAAGTGGCATTTCTATCTCTACAATGAAAGTAGGCTTCCCTCCATGGCGCTATGCCAGCGCTTAAGTAGTAGCAATTCCTTTTCAACCGGAAAAAACCAACAGGACAGGCAAAACGCCTGATTTTAACATTTTTCACAGCATTGTCTTCTGGTAAATTCACACTTACACTCTGGGGACCCGTTGAACCAGATGATAAACCTGAATAATAAAAAGTCATATTTAGTGTTCAAGTAATGCATCAATAAATCTACATTAAGTAGTTGATATTAAAGTTTTAAGATATGGGTATTATCATAGATTGGTCCATCATTGATGTCATAACAAAAAAGCTATAAATGTAAGTTACTACCCAGCATATTTTTGTATTGTATTGCGTCCTTGGTCGATATTCTGAGCATTATGCAACTGTAATTATATCGATAGATGTTCATTTAGCATATAAATCGAATATCTTATCACTCATGTCGATGAAAATAATGTAATAATAAAATCTAATATCCATTTTAGATTGTTTTAGAATATGTATGTTATTTAGAAAATCATCTTGATGATACAGATGTTTAGATAGATTTAAATATTGCAATCAAGAACGATTTAAATATTGAACAAATACAGTTGTCACTTTTATGATCATTGTTTTTTTGTTTTATTAAATTGCACTGCATGATGACATTAAAAAAAGATAGTTAATTTTATTGGCAATTTTTAATGCACAATCATAAAATATTTCATTAGCATAATCAATTTTTATGGAGATAAAATATTTTAATATTAAAGTAATTTATATAATTAGTTTTTTTCTTGTAATGCTCCTGCTAGATTTATTTTTATATTTTCATATAAATAATTTTTATGCTATTTATCATAGATAAAAGCTCTTTAATCAAAGAAAATCAACTAATATTAGCAAAATACTTTTTTAAAAAGTTCAGTTAATATATGTTTTAATCAGACTGTTATATATTTGGATTTATCTGAAATTTTTGAATATGTTTAATATAAAAATAAAAAAGTTCTGTACTACTGTAAAGTAGTTAACTAACATGAATTAATCTTATACGGTTTTTCTATAGAATATGTTGTTAGTTAATTCTGCAATGATGACATGGTTATAAGAGTATAGTGTATCAGAAATTATGTTATCATAATTTAATCATCCGATAATTAACTGTTTATAATCAGTAAATTGGAAACTAATTTATTTACATTGAATAGGTAAACAAATTAATCTTTCAATTTAAAGAACATGACTTATTAAGTGCTATAAAAAGAAACATTTCATGAAATAAAATGTTTTTTTATTCACATATTTAATGCTTAAAATTTTTCACAGTAAAAAAATATTTAAAAAAACATACTGCTGCTAATAATAAATTCAAAATTCCTTTTCGCTTATTCTTATGCATTAATTAATTAATTATACTCAACTATTCTATTAATAATAATAATGATGAAAAAGCCATGTAATCGTAAGTTATAAATAATCTTACGATTACAACCTGATATTCAAGAATAAACTTATCAATGAAAATTAAACATTTATCCGATCAAATCTAGAAATAGAAATAATTTATAAATCACAGTTGACATAAGAGTTGTTTAACACAAATAAATTCTTTCTCATTGCTAGCACAATTAATCAATGTTTTAGTACTTTAGATTCTCTAATAACCCTGAACTTCTTTCACCAATGAATTGCACGTAAAAAAAATCTTATGTTACTTTTACAACCAATTATTTTCTCTCTCAACTTTACCGGTATTTTATTTTATCTACTTGACCTTTTTATTCTTTTAGCACAGTTGGTACTCCAAGCATTTAATTGTCAAACAATCGAATAAAAGTTCTGATGGCAATTGAGTAATTATCAGTCAGGATACTTGAGTCAAGAAATTAGAATTAGATCATTTTATATTCTAGATCAAAGATGTCATATCATGAGTTCATAGACTGATATACATTATTTTTTATTGCTGATATTTTTACGATGAAATATTGTTTACAATCTACCAGAATTTGTCACTGGGGCTTGATATATTGTCAACATAAGTAGGTCGACAGTAGAAAATTTTTTTCTTTTACTTTTCAAGAATTTAGATAAATTGTTTTTTTATTTTTTACCTTTCAGATGTCATTTTTTTTCTAAGTCTCATACCGAGGCACTAGATTGATGTGAGGGTCGACGCGTTATCGCTAGTGATTCCTGTGGCGGGCGATTCGCAAAGCCAACAGATCGACATTCAATGCAAATTCACGTGTTACTTGGATCGTTCTCAAGAGATACGTTTATTGGCTTTCACAAATAGGGATGTATATCTGGATTAATGTTTCGTGAATCTCATAGGCTCGCTGTCATTTGTTCGAATGTTCATTTAGGAATGATTGTGTTAACAGTTTGATAAATTGATATATATATATATATATATATATTTTTTTTTTTAATTTATCAAATAATAAACTTGTTCAATATTATATTACTATTTTAAAATTCATGCTCATTTATATCTATAACATTGCATATTAATTAGCTCTTTATTTCACTATTTATTTCATATGCAAAACAGTTTATTGGTCGATAAAATGGTAGATAAATTTATTGAACTGTACCATGTTGCTTTCATGAATTTAACGTTATGTGAATTAAACGGTAACTCGAGAATATTTTCCATGTTTAGAAAGAATGTGACTGCCTATCAAACGATTTAAAGCATATTTATTGGAATGACAAAAAAAAAAACATTTATAAACTCTTATTCATTTGTGCAGTAGATCTGTCTATAGAATTTATTATGAAAGAAGCTTTTTCATTCATCCATACCATCAGATATTCATTTTATCATTATTTGTTGTTGATCGCGATTTTATATCGTTCAATAAACTTTATTAGTTCATGTTATATTCAAAATTTAATTCTACAGTTTTTATTTTATTTATTGAATTAAAAACTTTTTTATTTTTATTCCACTTTTGAATTTATTTTTAGACAACTTTTCTTTTTATTTAAATATTTATATTGATTTTATTTAATTAATTATTGCAGTTAAATATTAATAAAATTTCTCTTAACACACATATCGTTATTAAGAGTCAAAAAATGTAGTCATACCTGTTGCACACAGCAATAAAAGACTATATTTCCACATGATTATCCAAAAAAAGATTCGATTAATTTACTAATATTTACGACTTTATTCACCGTAATCGTCGTAACATTTAAACGATTCCCACAAGAATGTCCTCATTATAATTACACTTTTTTATAATGAAAAATATTTTTTTAATTCAAAAAATTAAATTTGATAATTTTCGTTGTTAATTGTTTTTAAAAATTACATAATCACATATACAATTTGATTGATACTTGTGTTTATTTTAGAGAAAAGCTTTTGTTTTTTGGGTTGTTGATTATTTCGGTTATTTATGACACAGGGGAACGTTCTTCGGTGGAGGCTCACGACAGACTGAAGCCTTGCCGGCAACTCCACTTGTACCGCCATGCACAATACGCCGGACTAAAACTTTGAATCGCCAACACATGCGTTTCTCCTGTCGTGCTTGATCGATTCTTCATTTACTTGTAGGTGTTTTCCCATATCATTTGATACATCATCAACCCCATCACTATTTTACTCTTTGGATTATTTTCACTTCACAACAGGATATGCGGGTGGACAACAAAAAATTATCTTCAACAAATATTTACCAGATGTGGTTCATTAATTATATTAAATATTTTTTTTCTTTTGTTGTTGAATGATGCATACAATTTGCAATTTAGTGATTTGAATAATAAACAATTCTTATTGTAAATAATAAAGAACTGTCTGTAGCTGCTGTAAATATGCAAAAAGCGTATCAGTTGCATAACATTGTTAAGTTTATGAGGGAACTAGGAGGGCTAGGCGGTTTAAGAATTCATTAGAAATTTACTTTTTAGTTCTCTCTCTGAATTGTTAAAACTTTTGTGTTCGCTTTATTTTATTTTTAATTGTTTCATCGAACAAAGTTTTGTTGATATTTTATTTTTTAATTTAATACAGGTACAATTATGTTTAAAAAAAACTAGACCAAACAATTTCCCTACCACTGAAGTTCATTAAAAGTATGTTTTTTTTTATAAACCTAAAAACTTTAAAATCTGAATGCTTTCTGAAGCTTAAAAGAGTATTACGAAACTTAGATGCAAGATATTTAAAGTTTTCACATGAGACTTGTACACTAACTTAAAACCCTTGAGAAGATGATGGTGGAATATTAAGTAGTATTTGATGGAGATAATACTAATGATACTATTAGGAATATTTTTTGTGTTTTATTCAGGTTTTTCTTTATTTCCAACTTTTGGGAGCTTGAGAGCACACTGGTGACCTTACCTTCTTAAGAATGGATTTCATTTATTACTATTGTCGTCTCAATGGCAGCAGTTTATTTTTTATTCTGATCTCAGAATGTTTTAATGACCAAAAAAAAAGTCTACTGACTTTTCCAATACATTTATTTTTATGAATAATTAAATGATTTAAAAAAAAACTATATTAATTATTTCCTGCTATTGGAGTTGAAAAATTATGCAAATTGATTTTTAATCTTTTCAATATTTTAAAAATTAATGAAACTGACGGATAAAATGGAGAGAATTAAAAAGTTTGCAAATGGTATGATTATAGTTGTTTCAGTACGTGAATTTTATTTTTAAGATAATGAATAATTTATTTGAAATAAAATTTTCCCCTCAGTGAAATAAATTATTTTTAAAGAGTGATTTTCAAATCACTGAATTCAAATCTGCAATAAGAATTTTAAAGTTTGAAATTGCGAATTTTATCTGGCTGAGTTAATATACAAAAAAAAGTTGGGTTCTATAAAAATTCAAATTGAACAAGTTTTTTTTTTAGTTTAGTTTACTGATTTTACATTTGAAGTTTAAATCCTAACTTTTTGTCTTCCCAAAAAAAAAACCCTTCAGATTTCTATATTATTCTCTCTGGAGACATGTATTTTTAGAAGAAAAATCAAAATGAACTTTGAATTAAAAAGCAACGCTTTAAAGGATTGAAATGAAAGAATTGAATAAAATTATTTTAATTAACATGAAAATAAATAAAATAGCAGAATGTTAAAGGTTGCTTGAAAAGATACGAATTATATGCAATATCACATACAGCTTCTCCATCAAGTGTGGTCTCTAATAAATACCTGGCTTTGTGTACTCTCTTATGAAAGATCACGGCCTTCTTTTCAAGTAGAAGCGTAAATTGTCGATAATAAATGTGGGTTTATTTTTTGACACATTTATTCTTGATAACCATTTGGTTATATGTGTGAAATATATGACAAATACATTTATAATAAAATATATAGCATTCCAAAATTATTGATGATCGAGAAAATTATTAGACTGGAAATGCTAATTTATGACTTCGTTATCGACATCAAATGAAATAAAAATGATCATACTTATAGTAAAAATATTATTTATTCAATGCCATAAATTTTTATTGGTCAGTCAGTTTTATAAAAAATGCAACAGTAACTAGGTTCGTGAAAATTAGAATGTAACAGGGTGCATGGTTTTATGGTGAATCTTTAAATATTTTTCCATCAAATAGGAAGCTTCACTCTTTACTCATGCAATTTCGAATTCTATTTCCGTGAATTGTTTATCGCTCATGTGAGATCATCTCGTTTTCACGCCTGCTATTTCTAGATAATCCAGGAAATTTGCGAAAAAATAATGAAGACTTGAAAGCAGGTGGTAACAAAATTTTTAAACAGTTAAGTCATAAGAAATAAATAAAGATTAGTCAAATAAAAAAAAATAAATAGTGTAAAATGAATTATTGAATGATACACAATTCTAAATATAAAATGTTTTGTAATTTTGTCTTTGTATGTTTAATAATTTCTAAGAAAGTTAAACTTCCTACACTAAATTTCTTTTATAGGGATGCAATTGCAGGCAGTAACTGAGGTTATTAGTCTATGTTCAAAATGTATAGTATTATCTAATCCATGTAACTTATGTACTATAAAACATTCGACTGTTTCACGTTGATGATGTATCCAATTGGCACCTGGCCACCCGCGTGCTCTTTGCAATGTATTTTGAAAGTAGGTTTATGTTGAAGAAACATTTAAGCTACAATATATTGGCGTTACGCTCTCTTTTTGGTTAAACAAGTTAATTTTCTTAAGTGCAGATAATTATCTGAATGTCTGGACCATTTTATATATTTCCGACATGTACACAGACTTTCAATTTTACGGTTGTTTGTTAGTATTTCTCAGGCAATGTAGCAACTGCATAATAAAAATTGATGATTATAACAAAAAACAACTACTTGTTGGGTTACAATTATTAAAATTTACAATTCTTAAGTTTTCTTTGCATCAATATTGCTTTTATTTGACGTTTACCCATGATTTAGAAAATTTTCCTTAGAAAACAATTGTTGATAGTTTTATGTGGCTAATAATTTGCAATGTTGATTGTTATTTCTTAAGAAAAATATCCAATTCGTTATCTTGTTTCCTATAAAATTTACTATCAAAGCAATTTTATTCTTTTTCTGCTATTTTAACCTCTTTGTACACTCACGTCCTTGTTATGATTATAGAAGGAAATCATTTTAATTTATATATTTTTTTCCTCATATTCACAATTATTACTAGAGTTTATCTATTCTAAAGTACTCATTCCATGAGTTGAATGTTAAAATTGTTATTATATTTTTCCTCATTAGCTTCTCATTTGGAAGTTACTATCATGGATCCAATTTGACATGTAATTACTTAATGAAGAACTAATTAAGTTTTCTTAGAATAAAGTTCAGAGCTTTATTCAAAAATCGATTAAAAACTGTTTTAAGTAAACTGGTTGTTAGTATTTGAGTGTATCAGATACAGATAAAATCGAAAGTTAATAATTTGAGTAAACTAAGTCACACCTAGCCTCTTTTTTAAATTTTAGTTTTCTTCTGTCACTTATTTGTTTAGGTGGTTAGAAACTTGTTGTTTGCCTCAAAATTATTTCTAACACCTTTCATATGCTTTTGATAGAATAATATGCTGGAAATAGAAACATTATGTGTGAAAAAACCAGATAAAAACTCGAGTAAATTATTCTAAATTATTTTATGATATTATTCCTAAAATTATAAAAATTTGGCTCAAATCTAACAGCTTTTGACACTCATTCAAGAAACAGTTGGAAACAAATTATAATCATTGGATACAGTTTGGTTTATTGAGAAGATTTATTTCACCTGACAGCTCGTTTAATTCCTATAAAACTTTTCCATTGACTTCAATGTTTATAAAATTTTTCAGTAAATCGTTTGTATATTTACCATATCTATCATTGACCCTACTTATCACAAAAATAGTTCTCTATTGACCTGCTAATTATAAATATTTTGGAAAGCAAATCAAATTGATTTTAAAGCGTTAAAAGATTTGAAATCGTTCATCTTACAATCAAAATACCTCGAATTTGTTCAAAAATGAATTGTTTAAAATTATTTTTGATAAATAGTTATCATAATAACTAAAAACTTTATTGATTTCTAATCTAGTATTCAATTACCAAATTGGCTTTGGAAATTATAATAAATTTTCCAAAGTAAAAATATTTATAAATTGGAAAACAATTCTCTATTTTACACTGCTGTGCTTTTTGTTATTGTCTAAAAATGATTGTGAATTCCTTAGTGCAAGCTCCCATGTGAGAGCTGTGAACGAAAATAGACTTAATCCCATTATTTTGCAATTTTATAGTTCTATTGAAGCAAGAACCTTTCAAAGTACATAAATAAATAATATCGTGAGAATGTTTCACTTTAAAAAAAGTCAATTACATTAGTATTAAAAGAAAAAAAGGAATTTGATTGCAGGGTTTATTCTGCTGCAGAATTAAAGCGTTTTAGTTAATAAATCAATTGGTAATGCTAGATGATCTTTACAGGCTGAGTCATGATCAAATATCGATAGTCATTCGTTATTTTACTGTGGTAATTTTGTTTCCTGTCTTATCGTAGTATAAATGGAAAGTGATCTTATCACTTTATCGCTTTTTTTATAGTAAAGGATTAGATTGGGATTTGAAATCATTCTTTGATAAATTTGATAAAAATGCATTTCCTTGGTCATTTTTTTTCAATAGCGAAAAATTGAACTTTTTCTATTGAATGTTCTAGATGATAGGCAGAATGTTCTTTTACTACTTAAAGCGCATAATAACTCCCTTCGCTAGTGACCTAATTAAAGTCAAGCATATAATGAAGATAGATATGGGTCTTTCTTAGAAACTCACTCATACGTATGACTGATTTGCTGCAATTTTTCATGCTTTTCTCAGAATACTTTGGTTCTTCGATTTCTTTGTGGTAAATTAGTTTTTGTTGGCAATAGATGAGTTCCATCCTCTGCATTATCCACAACAATATTTGTTTTTATTGCAAAACTATTGGAC